AGAAATTCGTCCAATTCAGATGTCAAGTCCGTTCGTCACTTGTCTTTCTCCTGCTGTCCCATAGCACGCAAAAGTCAAGTTTCTATCGTGCGTTGTTGGGTGATCAGAGTAACGTTGCGAGAAAAAAAACTGAGGGATATGGTGTTACTATGGATAATCGGATCATTTGAGACTCATATTCATATTTACATGTGAATCGATGGATAGATAAATTAATTACGGAACACATAGCGTATACTGCGCAAGATGCATTGTGTTTAATAGAACGAGGTTATGGAAACTATGAAAAATAACTCATAGTGAGAAAATAAAAACAAGAAAGCCGACTCTAAATGCCGACTCTGGTAATGAAAAGCATAAATATCGGTTTTAAATCACGTCAATTTTTCGTTACTGTTATTATAATGCAAATAATCATGAAGGATTCGCTACAATTTGAACGAAATAGATGTAAGTAATCGTTAAAGGCATGAGAGATCATAGTCACAATCCTCGGAGGCAAAATTTACAAGACAGTGATTTCTGTTAAAGTGAAAGTAACATCGGAAATTGAGACCTTGAAGAAAAACTCTCTCTAACTAATATCCCGAAGAATAAGTTATTGCAATAGTTGAGTTGAATATTGTGCCAAAAGGCGTTGAGTTTTGTTATGAACCGGTAAATTATTGCTCTGACCATGGCAGATAAGAATTTTTAAAAGTTTTCTCTCGCAACTAATTCTACAAGCTACTACAAGTGCCCACAAGCTGCTACTACTACATGCTTCAAATCGCATCGTCCGATCTGGTTTGACATGTTTTTAGAATACTCCGCTGGGCTCTGGAATACATTTTTTTCTTCAATATTCTTTTTCACGGGCGATTACACTATTGTAACTAAGATATCGACGGTGAAACTACCAAACCACGTATCTCGGTTTGCGACGTTGCAGACTTCCTGTCATACTTTATTTTTTAAATGAAAAACTACTTAACGTCCAGTCTTGAAAATTTCTGTGATTTTTCCTTTTCGTGCGGAGAAAATTCTGTGAAAATTTCAAGGAATGATATTTATTTGGTCTACTTTAAAAAAAATAAAATGTGAGCGTAGATTTTTAAACACCGCAAACGAGATACGTGGTTTGGTAGTTTCACCGTCGATATATACTATTCATTTGTTCCCGATCCAAAAAGCACGAAAGTAGATCATTTTATCAAGAGAATGAGAGGAGGTCATTGCTCATAACCTCGTTATTTTTGGAAGTTATAATGCCCCTTAAAATTAGCACCTGCTCAAGAAGATCTTTGAGCTAGGGATCCAATCAAATTGGATCGCTTCCGCCCTCGCTATCACTCTAATAGATTTAACATCACTTTTCGAGAGGTTCTCAAGTAACTCCTACTTATAAACTACGTCAAATTGCAACGCACAATACCTTCCCAAAAAATGGATGCCTATTTTGTTCAAGGGTGTTTTTTTTTTTTTTTTTTTTTTTGGGTCATTTTCCAGTGCAACTCACCAAATTTAACAATATTACCTATGGACACCCAAAGCAGCTGCCGTTCAATTATTCGTGGGTGTCATTTAAACATGATGAGAGACTATCACTTTGTGAGTGGAAACAAATGCACAAGAACAAAAATGAAAAAAAATATGCTTCAGAAAAATAGTCATGCAAAATTTTCGGGTGGTTGTTACACTTTGCACTTTGACACAGTGTATCCGTAGCCGTAGGTATTACTCGAGACCCCTCAAAGGAGAAGCTCCTGCCATAAAACTGACGGTCAGGCCGAAGGTCGTTCGGTTTCTTTTGAGTACCTCCTTGTAATTTAAACAAAAATACATTTTTTGAAATGCGCAGAAACATATAACTCTCAGCTGCTATTTTCCATTGACACGTGCTTGCGTTTCTTTCACGCTTTACTTTGCGTTTGTGCAAACCTGTAAACACTGCAACTCCCAGTCCGCACGTCAAAATAATTTCACAGGTGATTAAAAGTGTCATATCCAAGCAGGCTCAGATAAAACACAGGCTGTCCGTGAAAATTAAAAGCATGACCGCAAAAGTAATTATAGGATACGTTGCCAAAGCGCCAAAAAAATGTCTGCCCTCTAGATTATCCGATGTATGCACAAACGCGTGTTAGATAGACGAGTCCATTGCTGGGATAGGTAAGTGATTAGAATCGTGAATTGTGGACAGCTCTTTCATTCATCAACTCTTAATGGCTATCAATTTGACAGTAAACAACGAAATGGTGCTGGGTTCACACCATTTTGCGGGGAAATCAAAGCTACACTGAAAAAAAAAAGATTGCTGAAATTGCCGTGCACGCAGGTATTTCATGCATGGTGTAGCTAAAAAACGAACGTGCAAACCATGCAGGTAAAATCGCTACACAAATTTCAGCTAACTTACACACACGCGTGTAGGTGATTCTGCTCTCTGAAAAGCTACGTCTGTTACTTTTTTAGATATTCTTCCGTAAATTTCGCTATTTTCCCGTAAATTCCGCTATTTTTCTGTAAATTCCGCTAATTCAGCCTAACTATTGAGCTATTTTTACTGTTCGCAAAGTACCAATACCAAAAAATGCAGTTACACTTCCAAGCCACTCGATGCAAGATTAACTGCATGAAAGCGCGCAGATGTAGCAAATCGGTGTAGCAATTCGTGCTAGTCGTTCACTTGATTCAACACCGTGTACGGATAAGAAAGCTTTACGAAGTGAAGCAAATTTTGCTCCACCCTACATTGGTGAATTAGCAATTCTTTTTTTTCAGTGTAAGAAATTCCAAAAATTATAATTAAAGTCAAAGATAAATTTTTTAAACTCTAATGAGTACCAGTACAAAACTGATTTCTCCTCCTTGTTACGTGCAGTATTTGGGCCACTTATAAGCGTTTTTTTTTTCTTTTTTCTCATTTAACAGTAAATGAGACTCTTCGCGAAAAAAGGAGTCTTAAAATCGTATATACTCACAGTCGTTCCTTAATCAGCTCCTTTCCTTATTAAGAAGCCCCATGTGATTTAAATTGTGGTTAAGGGACTTTTAAAGAGATCCTCAAGAAATCATTATGGGAAGGATGATTTTAAATAATCTCGAATAAAGATTAAACAGTAAAATTTCAGAGATAGGCCCTTGCAAGGGATAACGATTGTTCGCCACTGCAAACTTTAAAAATGAAATCTGGAAAAGAAATTCGTTAAATATTGACAAACTGTGACAAAGTGGGTACAAGCCTACTTTAACATTTTCAAAACTATTGAAAGTTTTTCTAATGTTCTTTGAATTTTTCATGAAGTAAATCATTGTAATCCTTTGCAAACCGGTCTATTTCTAAAATTATGCCATTGAATTTTACTTGAGATTTGTCAATAGTGGTTTTTTAAAATGCTTTTTGACGGATCTCTCTAAACCCTCCTTAATCACGATGTGAATCATATGGGGCTTCCTTAAAAAAAGAGGGTATTTCAGGAACGACTAGGAATAATGCCCTTGATACCAAATACCTCAAAACTAAGGTAGTAAAAGGTACCATATACTGTCCCAAAGAACAAGGGTTACCTACGCAAATATTTTAGCACTAGCAACGCAAAACATCGACAGCTAAAGTTCACGGTTTAAAAGACTTCTTTTCGGAGAAAATAGTTATTTGTTCTTCTCTATGCTACTAGTTTGAAAAACCATTACGAATAAGACAAACGCAAACAAACACAATATGGAAGTAAAGCGAGGGAAAGGATATGCGTTAACGACGGCGCAGAGATACAACTATTCGTACTTGATGAACGTCCGTGCTGCATCTGAAAAATTGAAGGCGCGATGACGCGAAGCGTGACCTCTCAATGCTATGCTATATGCTGTTAATGAGGTGTCGCTCAGATTCGGGAGAAAAGTTAAAAGAGAGGCCCGAATACGTCTTTCCTGTCTTCGGCTGTGTTGATACTTGTTCTTTCTTCTTCTTTCAGGGTCTTGCCTGATTCTTTTTTAGGATACATTTGTAGACCCACGTCTTAAACTCGTGTAAACCGCAGCACTGGCTCGGTTCTAACGGAAATAATGGTGCTTGAAAGCGTCAAGTGGCTTTAATTTTTTATGTTTTTTATAATGTCAGAAGTCCTTCGGTTACTTCAATACGTTCAATTTTGCAATTTTTACTCTGTACGATTAATAAACTTTGAACCTGAAAATAGCGTAAACTTGTGCTGCTTTGCAAAATGGGCCTGTTGCATGCAAGAGATACAGCCGTGCGAATAGACTTTTAAGAGGTTAAATGACATGAAAATTACGATGGTCACATTAAAAAAGTCTGAAATACACTCCTTACTGCGCACTTTGCGTTGTTAGGAGCGCGCTTTTTCAAATTTCCCGCGTCGGGGGGCAGTTTTCTTACGGAAACAATTAACGGCAACTCGCGGCTATTTCCGGTCAACTAAAACTGACAACATAACCTAAAAATCGGAGCTCGTGATATCGTGAAATGAAATGTAGAAGGATTGCGTTGGATATTTTAAAGTTGATCGATTTGGTGACCGCATAAAGCGTATATGGACCACTATAACAGATCACGTTGGGTTTGTGAACAAACTGAAGGAAAAAATAACAACAACAACAACAACAACAACGACTCGGCATCTTCCGGAAATCACCGAGCCCGCCGTTTGCTCGTTTCCGGTGATTAGAAAACTGCCCCCAGACGCGGGAAATTTGAAAAAGCGCGTTCCTAACAACGCAAATTGCGCAGTAAGGAGTGTATTTCAGACTTTTTTAATGTGACCATCGTAATTTTCGTATCATTTAACCTCTATTAAGTCTATTCGCGCGGCTGTGTCTCTTGCATGCAACAGGCCCATTTGCTGAGCCCCTCCACGTAGGGTAGAAGCCCTACCAGAAAATACCACATTACGCCCCTTTAACCAGCCAAGGGTCTACGCCCTTAGATGCGAGCCAGTCCTTCCTGTAGTAAAGAGCACTTTCTCAGTGATCTAAGTGTGCAATTAACTCTTTGTTCACAGGTTCAGGGTTTGGCGCCAGGCATTTGCAATGTTTCATGGTTTTCTTGGGTACGGCAATTGCCTACAGTCTCCGAGTGAACTTGTCTGTCGGAATTGTATCCATGACAACACCCAAAGTAGAAAACGGTACGACCATCGAGCCAGAATTTCCGGTAATTAAATACACGTCTTCTTCCTTTCTCATTTATTTACTGTGTGCTGATGACAGGGTCCTTTGTGTGATGTTGGAGGAAAACATGTTGACATTTGTGGCTTCACACGGAGGAAAAAACTTCGTGCATGAGACCTGAAGTTGAGGTCATATGGATCCATGAAGTTTTCGGATCACGCATCCGAAAACTGCCGAAGTTCGGGTCAGACATCTGAAGCTCTCGGCATATACCGGAGATCTTCAGATGTGTGTCCTGAAACCTTCGGTGTATACCCAAGTACTTCAGGAGTCTGACCCGAACTTCGGCAGTTGGACTTCAAGTTTTCGGATGCGTGATCCGAAAACTTCAGAGATCCACATGACTTCAACTTCGGATCCCATGCACGAAGTTTTTTTTTCCCGTGCTGCGGGTCGATTGTTGAATCGTTATCGAATGAGTTTGATCGATAACTCCCTATCTTCACAATGCTATATATCGATCAAGGTCATTCGATAACGATTCAACAATCGACCCGCAGCAGGAGTCGTTAATCAGGGCTTGTTTTTCTATTTCATTTATGATCAGGGTTCAGAAACATCCTCAAATACATCATAAAAAATATTAGGTGAGCGTAAGTTCCGCGGTGCCATGAGACAGAAATTCAATTGACGTATTACGAGGATAAAATGTGAGAACCACGTTTCAAAGTCAAACCCTTGAAATTAGCCGGACTTCATACTGCATTATTGAAAAAAAAAAAATTAAAAAAGGCGTGAAACCGTATGCGTGGTTTTGAACGTGGAAATATACCACTAGCAATGAAATCTAATTTAGCCTAATCCACCCCAACCTGAACAAAATTTACTATGGGCCTCGTTCAACCTTGCCTAACTTGATTTATTCTGATTCAGCCCACTCAACCTATAACCTGACGTGCAAAACCTCGGAGTCAATCTAGTCTCTCTTTAAGAGAACTCCCTCGGAGAGTATTTTCGTCAGTATAAACATTTTTAGAAAGTTTCCCACTCGGAGTGTAAGAAGCATGACGCTGAGTTTTTGTTCAAAGTTTCCGAGGTCTGTTCTTCCGATTTCACTGACCGATTATGAAAACAGTGTGGAATTACAGGTGCTGCCATGGGACGGGTCGATGAAAGGCACCATACTCAGCTCCTTCTTCTGGGGCTACCTCCTCCTCCAGATCCCTGCGGGCCAGCTGGCTGAAAAATTCGGCCCTAAAGTCCTCCTCACCATAACTATCTTCATCAGTGGCTTCATCACCGCACTTACCCCGTTTGTGGCAATCTATGGGGGCTTCCGTTGGATGCTTTTCACCAGAGTCGTCCTTGGAGCGGTCCAGGTAACATTTCATAGTTTTACTCTGTGTTACTAATGTCAATTTTTTTTTCTTTCTTTCTTTCTTTGCGGAAATCAACCCAAGTGTTTAAAGAAGAGTTTCCACCCGCAGTAATGCGTCAGTTGTGCTGGTCGCATAATTGTGTTTTGATGCTTTATTCTTGCAGATCAACTAAAAATAATAACATTTGTCCAAACAGCAACTTTCTACGTTGCTTGAAAAACTTTACTTATGACGTCATCCACCGTGGTAGTACATACCATGTTATGCTTTACCGCGGTGGATGACGTCAAAAACCCGACTTCTCATAGGACGATATCTGAGTTAATATTCAACGTAGGAAGTTGCTGTTCTGGTAGGTCTTCTTAGCTACAAGAATCAAGCATCAAAACACGATTCTGTTACCAGCGCAACTGGCCCATTACAAAAAATGAAGAGCTGAATAGTTGAAACGATCCCCATAAAAAATTAAACCGCTGAAATTTCAGCCTCATGAGCTCAAAATGACGAGCAAGTTATGAGTATCCATAGATACTTCTTGTTTGTTTAATACATACTTAGCTATGCGTAAACAACGTATATTCAACGTAACAAATATTGTTTCTTAAACACATCTATGAGAACGATCAACATTAGATCCACATTTAGAGTTTCTTAATTCCGACCTTTTTGTTCAGTGTTTGTTATCTCCTTCGCCTCTCACGTAAAATTTTAGAGATGAAACATTATCATAATACAGCAATTTGAACTTTGTGTACCGGTCAATTCTCTTCCTTCCCTCAAACTTGGCAACGACCCAATATCTGAGAGATCTTCACTTTATCGACCTCGATTGATCAAAGGATCAGCGGTTGTATGAATGAAGGAACCTCTGTTGTCAAACTGAAAAACAAGATCCGTTGTCTCATTCAGACTTGCAGTGGTAGGACATCTGGCAACTGTGATCTAAAAGAGGCTTTTTTCCCGATGACTTACTGTACTTTAGTCTCAATGATAACCATATAAGTGGGATGTTATTCCTTTATTACGCTTGCCTTCGGCACAGGAAGACAGGAAAGAGTTTTTAATTTCTGTCGACGATGTACGTTTAATCGAAGGAACTAGGAAAAATGAACATACTTGTGAACTTGTGTTTATGCATGTATACATGCGTTCTTAGACCTTTTGTACAATGAAAGTGACACGAAAAGCGTGTTTGCATTTACATTAAATATTAACGTATGCATTTGTATGTGCAGGGATTTCTGTACCCATCGATGAGTTATTTGCTCGCAAAATGGACTCCAACTCCTGAGAGAGGAAGACTTGTCACTTGGGTCTACAATGGTTTGTTTCAGTTTTGTCTTTCTAAACGATGTAGAACTTTTAATCTTAAAACTTTGGGTATAAAAAATTAAAAATTTCTTCAGATTGCTGTCTTCAAACGAAGCTATATATGGTAAAAGGTCCAAAGGAAACTTTCTAAGGTAATCCTCGGAATGTGTGATTTCCGAAGACAAAATAACGTCTCTGCCATTGCAAAGTGTTTTTTTAAGGTGGAATTTCTCTACTCTATTTTTGTTCCTCAACACTGCACTTTATTTAAATCCTTGAAACCACTCTATCCTATTAATTGTTTTAATTATAGTTTTGAGGTATTTAAAAAAAAAAAAAAATATGGTAACAGAATCAGGGTTTCTTCATTCCTATAGGAGAATGTTCAGGATAGCGCCATTGGGATTTTTATTAAGGGAATGGCAAGATTGGTGTAAACAATTTAGTGTTACCCGCATAATATATGATTCGCCTTGTGTATTCATTTGCTGCTTTTCAAACTGGTCACTGAAGTTTATAATTATAATGCGAACGAAAATGCAGTGCTCTTCAATGGATTTCTACTTTGTAACGTAGCGCGTGGTAGTGAGTACTCGCCTTATGCTGTGTTCACGAAACTGTTTTCATTCATTTCTCACCGTCTGAGGAGAAGAAGAGTATGAAAATAGAAAAAGGAAAAGAAAAGGAAAAGAGGAAAGTCGTAGTAATATCGCCGAGTGTACACTGGGATACGTAAAAGAGCCTCCCAAAAAAAGGGCCTTTCTTGGCCCCTTTTCTGAAACTCGGGGATTTCATTCAAATGTGGCCTAAACGAAACCTTATGATGACTTAAGACTCCAGTAAAAATTTTAGCTTGAGTATACGTCTGGTTTCGGAGATACAGCGATGCAAAGTTCGCATATTTAAGCTTTAAAAATCTTCATAGTTTCAAATATTATCTTCCTAAAACCAACATCAGAGTGAACTTTACATTCTAAAACAAAGCGTTAATGAAGCATAATGATAAAAAAAGCCTCCATCAAAAGTTTTAGCTCATGCATGACCCCTGTTTTGGTAGTGCAACGTTGCAAGTTTACCTTTCTGAGCTTTAAAAATGCTCATATTTTTAAGTTTCTTGTTTAAAAACCAATTTTAGTGAATATCAAACTGCGTTTTGAGGGATAAAATTAACCCCTAGTGATACTTTTGGATGCATAATTGCATTGATAAAAGGCTACAATGATTTAAAGTAACACAGCGTTGCCCAGTTTACATCCTAAATCTCTGAAAATGTCTTTTCTCTTGTTTTCTTATGAGAGACAACTCCGATCAAACATGTTTCGATATTGTAAAGTGAAATACAAGGAATCTTGTTAGTTCTAAGTGACAGTTGGTGTAAAAAATGACACTGTTGTCTGTTTATCTTTTTTTTATCTCAACATTTAATCATAAAATAACATTAAAATTAGGATACTTCCAACAATTATCTAATTTCAAAATCAAATTCAAGAGACTTTGCCATGCTCGATGAAATGCTTGCAGCACCAGCATTGCTTTCAAAATCCAACAAATTATGCCTCGCCATAGTTGCCAATTTAACCGTTTTTTAAGTAAAATGAAAAAAATAAACATAGAATACAGAATTTGCCGAGTTGTCTTAAGTATAAATAAATATTGATCTAGAGAATACATTTATTATGCCTTGCAAAATAGAGTACCTCCACTGTTTTTTTAAAAAAAAGGAAAAAATGAAAAATATTGAAAAAACTTGAAAGAATTAAAAATATTGTAAAAAATTGAAAAAATAAAAAAAAATCAAATAAGAATTAAAAATATTGAAAAAAATTGAAAAAATTAATAAAATCAAATAAAAATTAAACAGTAAAATAATATTTAAAAAAAAAAAACAAAATTAAGTATCAAGTATTGGAGGCATCTTTATTTTAAAATAATTTTATTATTAATTGTTTGAAAATAAGTATTAATAAACTTAGCAATAGTATTTTTGCGAATACTAATCGTCACTTGGAACTGACATCAGCCCTCGACATTTTTCCTTGATATAAGGCCTGACACCCATTGACGTCCTCTTTAACTAGCATAAATAATAATTTCGAGAGTTTAAAGTTGTTAGCTTGGCAACGCTGTATCACCACCAATTAAAGTATCCCTATTTAAGCTACAAATGACACATTTGGTAGATTTCATGCTTCAAATTCTAAAGAAGATCCACGAAAGTAGCTTTTTAAACGCGGGACTTAGAAATATAAACATTTTTAAAGCTCAAATGTATAAACTTAGCAACGCTGTATCATTAAATCTGTACTTATGCTTGCGGTAAGGCCTATATAAAAGACTTATCATATTATAAAGTTACATCTAAACACCATACACAGATCTTTTGGTGATCAATAAGTTTGTTTTTTCATTCAGAAACTTACAAAAATGAGCAATTTTTATAGGTCTTTGGTGTCAACTTTGCAACGTTGTATCAAGAGAATCAGCAGTATCACCGTATCAATAGGAATATAGATGTAAAGATAAGACTGACTGTAGGTAAAATGTCACAAAATAACAGATTATATCTGTTGGAGTTGTTTTTTAAAGTAAGATATTTGAAAATATGCGAATTTTTAAAGCTTAAATATGCAAACTTTGCAACGCTGTATCTTGGAAACCAGACGTATACTCAAGCTAAAATTTTTACTGGAGGCTTGTCTCATCATAAGGTTTCATTTAAGCCGCATACGAATGAAATCCCCGAGTTTCAAAAAAGGGGCCACTTTTTGGGAGGCTCTTTTCCTGAAGAAACATGAGTCATTATAATCTTTTAGCATTACCGCTTTTTGAACGAACATATATTTGGAGACTTTGACGCATGAGTAGAAAGAAGACAAACGCATAAAAACATCGTCGCCGGTATATATCAGGCACAAAAACAGTAAGAAATTTATCTTCTTCGTTCAGTCTTTCTTTCCTTTCAACCCCTCCTCCCAAGAGTCTCCCCCCCCCCATTCATCATCCCAAGTAGCCAAGTACAACGAAAATATTTAAATAGTTTCGCAATTTAATTCAATAACGTAAATACCATTAATTCAATTTTTGTTTCTCCATACATTTATTTTGCTTATGATTTTGTGTTGCATATTTTGCAGTTTATTTTGTGTTTAGTATCAATACGAGTGATTCTTGTGATGTAACATTTTAACGCCGGTTGTTTTTCATAACTTTCTATTCTAACGTAAATTGTATACACACGGTTTGAAAAAAGTATGGATACTTGCCTCCAAACTAAAGGAAAGCTGTTAGGCCGCTTTTAAATTGACCAATTTTGCTTAAACTTGCATAGTTGAATTTTAGTGTCTGATTCGTCATTTTTGTGCCAAAAAACCCCTCGATGTTAAGGTTCAGCGGATTCAGCCAATAAAACGGTGATATAACCGCTTTCCGCCATTTTGAAGGCCACCATCTTTAATATACAATAGCGATGTTTTTTCTTTTTTATTTCTATTCTGATATCATTATTCGGTCTTTTTTGAGCTTAAACCTCTTTGATGCTAGACCTCATTTAATTTTGCCAAATAAACAACCAAATTATCATTTTGCCATCATTTTGAATTATCTAGCAGCCATTTTGAAACAATGATAGGTCTGTTTCTAGCTTGCGCCAAACATTGTCTTTTTTCAGATCTTTCTATAACGAGGTATCACATGATGGGGGTTCCTATTTAAAATTCAAAAGTATCCCCTCGCCCCCGCCTATAAGTCCGGGGGAGCACGATCTCCATCACAAAATTTGCCCTCCTCCAATTGAGAAAATTTCGTCGAAACTGTACATCAATATCTGCATCAGCTCTCAAGATATTAACAAGTATCCATATATGAAGACTCTGCACTGAGATTCTCTCTAGAGTGAAAAGATTATTCTCGGAAGTCAACATTCAGATTCGCTTGATAATGGCAACAACTGAGCAAGCAAAACCTAGTTTGACAAACTTGTTTTGCAAACTTTTGGATGCAGAATCCAGGGGCTATTAGGCTAATACACAAAATGCTCAAAAAGCCCCTCATCGATGATGATCATCTGGTAAAAAATTTTATTGACCTCTGAATTTGACTGTTGCTTCACTCGACTACATCACTTAGATTAACAGTAAAGGGTCTCTAAAAAGTATTAGCTCTTCATAGTCGTATCCCGGTGTGTAACTACAGTCCTACGGATTTTATTGAATCCTGGTGCTTAGTGATTCGAATTTACTTTATTGGATGCGTGAGAAGGGTTTGCACTAATATGGTTTTTGTTATGGTCCCTCAGGGAACAATTTTGGTAATTTAGTGACGATGGCAGTTGCTGGGGTTCTGGCCGACAGCCGATGGGGTTGGCCCTCTATCTTCTACGTTTCCGGGGGTATTGCCATCTTGTGGGCCCTCGTCTACTGCTATGTTGGCGCCAACAATCCTCAAGACTCTCGAACAATTTCGGAAGCTGAGCGAAAGTACATTCTGAGCACCCTCCCTAGTAGCTCTACCGACAGATCGGTAAGCTTTCTTATCATATCGTATATGTGGGATCACAAACCTATGCTGCTGTGCCAAGGAAAAACATCATATAAGCATTTAGAGTTTGCCAAATTTACTCCTACAAAACATCCATTTTTAAAGGAAATTACGTATACACATTTTTCTTTGAAACTTTCTGACACATTAAAATGAATTGCAAGTGAAAATATCTGAAGAAATTGGGAGAAAAACACCCACAAGTTGCTCTAAAATGTTTTATTTTATTCAAGGATATTTTGCAACACCTGAAGGTTCATACGACGCTTTTCCTTAGCAATACTTAGCATGTAAACTAGAGTCACGGAACCTCGTGCTTTGATCTGCGACGTAATTCTCGTTATATATTACTTTTTGGATTCATGCATGATTATTTTTATTTTACAAAGTTTGGTGTCATTTTGTACCCTCTCAAAAGTGTTTTCTGGAAAATGTGTTAGAAAGAAATTGGTTGTATTCTCTTAAAAAGATAATGATAAAGATAATGATTCACGTAGGAGCGGAAATTTTGAAATTCCTCAGTCGAGATATATTTTTCTGGTTTGCCGTCGAGATGTTGCAAAATCTGCAAGAATTAAGTTTACGTCAAAATATTTAAAATTTAGCTTTTACCGCACTCACAAAGGTAAAATTTGAACTGTTCGAATACGATAAGAAAACCCCAAAATTGATCAAATGAATAGGTCGGAACTGCGTATACTGCTTTTAAAAGTTTTCAAACACGTAAAATGCCCAGAAAATTTCTTTGAAAGTTGTGACAAAAAAGGGCAAAAAGGCCTACTTCACTTCAAGCATGTGTGCACTGTTGGTATTGTTATAAAGGGAACGAATCTAATTATTCCTACAGAATCTTTCTCAATGGCTTTCTCCGGCATATTCAATACTTAAATATTTTTACACGCCGTGAAACCTTCTTTCACAAATCAACAATGCATCTCATAGAAGCCAATTATTGATTGTATTTTAGGCGCAGAAAACGCCATGGAAAGAAATTGTGACCTCCGTCCCAATGTGGGCTGTACTTATATCGCATTTGGGTCAAAATTGGGGTTTCTGGACACTGCTGACTCAAATTCCGTCCTACATTACAAATATGTTTGGTCTTGACATCAAGAAGGTAAGTTTTGCTCACAGTATCATCAATAATAGTAGGAAAATTAAGTACCATCTTGACCCACAGTCTCCTCCTCTCCTCTCTCTGAGAAGTAATACTGCTGCTATATTTGTCCGTGTATCCTGTCCCTGGTAAAAATTGGCAGTAGAATCTGTGTTCCAAAATACCATAGACCTAAAGCCAGCTGTAAGATTTTCAATAGCTTCTGTAACCGGCTGTACAATTTCTTATGGCCTTTAATAGCCGATGGCGATTAAGCAACAGCCAGACTATAAAGTTTATGCTAAACGTCATGAAATACGGATACTAGGACTTAGTTAGTTTTTGGACTACCACTCTCTTTTTGTGCCGTAGTATCTTGATTTATTTTGCGAGGAAAGGTCCGTACTCTTGAGGGATGCCTGTCATTCTTAATATGTTGGAGCACCTTCAATTTCTTATGATACTGTGCAATACCTCTGGTGTGAAATAGTTGCTTCAGACGCCGTGACACGCTGCGGCGCGGCGGGCGGGGAGAGAGCGCGAAACGCGCATTGGCGCCTTCAAACCTAACAGGGATACTTCCCGCATTGCGCAATGCGTGCAGTATCCCTGTTAGGTTTGTAGGCGCCAGTGCGTCGCCGCTCCGCTCTGTGTTAGGCTCTAATATTTAATCCCACGGAGTCAGCGTTTTTCAACTCATGATTTTGAAATATTTGCACACTCTGTATGGACTATTCTCATTTTAATTTATGAAAAAAAAAATGTTTTAAAGGAAAATATAATGTGTGTTTAGTAAATATTATGGTAGTTTCGTATATCAAACTTAATGATTTCCAAATCACACGAATTTCTACACAATTTCTTATAGCCTTGTATAGCCAATGGCGATGAAGTGTAAAGCCCGGCGATAGGAACTATAGCCCGACTGTATACTTTTTTATAGCTTCGTATAGCCCGGCTATATGATTTGCTCCGCTTTCTACAGCCAGCTATATGATTTTCAATAGCCTTCTTTAGTCGGCTATAAGAACTCCTATAGTATTTTGAAACGCATACCTCCTATCGCCAATTTTTACCAGAGGTATCCTGTATTAATGTATAGTTTGGCTTAATTCTTGTTTATAGCCGAGGGATGCAATTCCATTACTTACGGCTTCAACTTTAATAGCTTTGCCCCGGTTTAGTGATATTTAGTACCTAATTCAAATGATATCGATCGAGTCTTGAGAAGGTTTGATTATTTTAATTATGGTTTATTGCTTCATAATTAAGTTATGTGAGCATTACAATTTTAAGCTAGGCTGAACTAATAAAATCATAAATGAATAAACTTTTAATTTACATAAATAAGTTTGGTTACTTAAATTTTCGATTCAATGTTCATAAAATTAAATTATTTAATTCCAAAGTTGCATCTCAACGCCACGGTTTAACTCTTAGAAATGGTTGACCGTCGGAGCCTTCGGAAATGATGCTGCAGACGTTGGAATAATGTATTATATTGTAGTTGTCTTGATATTTTATTCAAGCTTGGACAAATTTTACGACAGAGGGTGAATTTAAACCATCACTGCACGCATTCCGACCTCACCGCGCCACGAACACGATTAAAAAATAAAGAGTTGATTGAGTTGTTTGACATAATCGATCAAATCAGCAGGGCAGAGAACCAGATCGCTATCAATGAGCGAATAGGCGCCACGATCACGATAAAATCGCGGTGAGGTCACTCAATCGTCGCGGATAATTGCAAAGCCTCAAACTCCGTTCCCACAAATTAATGTCATGCGCTGTGATATGCAGGAAACTAGATGCAGCTCGGTGAATACGCTGCAATTCTGTTAGAATTGACACGTTTCGTGCCCTTCGGCGTCCTCAAAACAAATTTCATGCTCAACAGTGACGTGGCGTGCTTTGCGATATATCGATTGTAATGCCATTTAAACCTATGGAAAAGGATCGATAAACAGGGTGTTCGCAGCGAACACCTTAATAATCGATTCTTTACCATAGGTTAAAATGACATAACAATCGATAAATCGAAATTCACGCTACGCTGCTGATGCTCAAGTGTTGTAAACGGAAATGCTCACGGGGAAAATATGGAGAGTATCATGCGCAAATTGCTCAGAATACTCATTGTGTTAGTTTGTGGCGGGTGTCCGAAAGCACCCCGGGGCGAAAGGCAAGCTATGGATCGGTGACGTCTAATAATATGGTTTGAAACATTTTGATTTCACCTTGATAAAGACCATAAGAGAAACGATATACAAGTCAGCTTTGATAATTAAATTATACGCTTATTTTATTTTATTTATTTATTTTTTTTGTATCCGGTCAAGTTCTCCATAGCTTGTTAGGGCGTCTCTTTTCGGAGGTTAGAGACTGGGGCGGCATAAATTCATCTCTGGGCAATAAATATTTAAATAACAACAATAAAGAAATTATAAACAAATTAATAAATAATACATTGCAATTTTTTTAGAGTGGTTATCTGTCAGCACTTCCTTACGCATCAAGTTTCGTGCTGGCGCTTGTGTACGCAGCCATCGGAGATGCGTTGAACAACAAGAATATTTTAACTCGAACCGCGTCCAGAAAAATGTGGAACACCGTTGGTAAGCTGATTTGTCTCCTATAACGCCAACTTTGTGGGACCGTAAAGTTTAGAAACTGCAACACGTACAACGGATAATTTTAAGAGATAATGAAGAGCACGGGGAGGTTTTTGATGGTCATGTCAATTAAAGAGGAGCCATAGGAAAGCGCGAATTCTTTTAAAAAGGCTATCGGCACCACACCGTAACGAGTAAAAAATACCGGAGAAAATAATTATGGTTCTTGAATAATTCATGATAAACGATAAAAGGGCTTTGGCTCTGAAGTTTTATAATATTAAACCATACCGAATGTAAGAGTCACCATACTTGTTTAGAGACGCGAATCACTGAAACTACTCAACGAAATATAGAAACTTGCTATTTAGAAACGAGAAAAGAATTTAAGTGAAGATTACAAGATGTGTGTTTCACCTCCTTAGACGAAGTGTAAGAGGTTAAGGATGATGAACTAAAGACCTAGATAAAATCTGAGGCAATATTTTTACAGAGGTGATGACTTATATCTAAGATTGATAGCTTGATGGCTAGGGATTGAATTGACTCAAACTAGTGTAATTAGATTGTAAGTTTGGATATCAAATTCTTTTTTTACTCTTTTGCAGCATTGTGGGGGCCGGCTCTCACTCTTTGTCTTTTGGCTTTCTCCGGAACACACGAAACATTGGCCCTGTTTTTGCTTGTCTCCTCACTGGCTTTGAACAGCGCTGTCAATCTGGGATTCCTTTCCAATCACATGGATTTGTCTCCTAATTTTGCCGGAACCCTCATGGGTATCACCAATGGACTGGCCAATATTACGTCAATAGCTGGTCCTCTTTACGTGGGCTACATAGTTACTGACCCGGTAGGAGCACTAAAGCAGCTTTTCGACTGTCGATTTAGATTCGTGTTCATACTAACTTGTTCTTAAAACAACTCCTTTTCTAGGAGAGGCCCCAAAAATGTATTTTAAATTGTGACCAACGGATTTTTAAGGTCTCTTTCAAGGCACCTTAAAAAGTGCGATTTTTTTTAAAATCTCCAGTGAGATCTATTTATAATTTTCGAAAATTAAATTTGCAATGAGTTGCGAGATTTAGATTATTTTCGACCACAAAAAATACAAAATACAAATTTTCATCATTTTGACACCGTTTTAGGTAAAAACGTAATTTCAAAAGCTCTGATATTTTTGCCTTGGTATTTTTTTTCTGGTGGCAAATCATTACATTCCCTTGCAAAGATCTATTTCTAAAGTGTACCTGTTGAATCACACACGAGGCTCGTAAAAATCATCCTCTGTACGATTCTTTGTCAAACGCCTCTTCAAGTCTCCCTTGATTACAACTCAAGCCATATGAGTCCTCCCTGTTTCACATCACGTTTCATAAGAAAAACGATTCGTGAGTAATTTTAAGTTTTAAAAGCACAATACATCCATTTGTAAAAAAGTAAGGTCCACGAATGATGTGTCTATAACGTCTAAATCTGAACTTGATGTTCAATTTTGAGAGAAGAAAATTACGATCTTGCGTATCCTCTATTATAACTTTATCGCGACTTACTTATTCCCTCTTTGATTCAATCCAAATAATTTTTCCCCGCACTAGATTTAATCGCGCAATACTACGAAAATAAGGCGTTTGCCAATATTGAGATATTTCTGAAAACAGCAATTAAAATGTATCAAAAATCTTATCACTAAAATATTATATGATCCCTTTGTTCCCAGAAATCGCTCGTCCAATGGCGGATAGTGTTCTTGACGTCTGCTGCTTTATTCTTCGTCGGAAATCTAATTTTCATTCTTTTCGGCACGGCTGAGGTTCAACCCTGGAACGCTCCTCAAGAGGAGGGAGCAAGAACTGAGACTGCATCCAAAGAGAAGGAACAGCAGAGCAATGCTAAGCAAATTTTGAATTAGAGGAATTGTACGCAGAAGCATTTTTCTCGTCTGTGCTTTAAAACGATGTGATACTGATAGCGTTCAACGCAATGCATTTTTACTACGCAATAGATAACTAGTTTTTAAGAGACTGTATTTTTGTCCTATCGAAGCTCCAAGCTCAAACGATGATGAACAAAATTTTGATCTCTCAAGATTAATAGGAGTCAAAAGTTTAAATTCAATGACAACTTACATCTGAATTTGCGAAACTCAGACTCTTTTGACTTTCATCTGCGGATGGCTGCCTACGCACTTAGAGAAAATTGAATTCATCCGTCGAAATATTAGCTTTTTTTTTAAATTTACATCACTAATTTCTGTGAATATTTCAAAAATTATTTTTTTTGTGTGTTTTTATTTAAGAGAGTAGGTTTTGAGAGAGAATCATATGATATTCGACGGATTAGTGCGGTTAAGGAACATACCTACGTCGGAATATGTCGGCCTGAATTCAAAACCGTGCCGCGTTTTCCAAAACCGAAACCGGGTTCAGTTGCATGGGCTCACCTACTTGCGAAAACATAATATGCTATTCCAAGACTGCACTAATTAGATACTTTTTTTGCGCCGTCAGTAATGTGCAATGCTGATCTAGATTCTCACCAAACTTAAAACACGCATTGGAAGCGGTACGAATACATCTTGTCTATCAGATAAACTTTAAACTCCATAAACCAAGAAATATATTTATTGCTTGGAAGAGAAAGTTTTTTTCTTTCTCCAAAACTTAAATTTTATTTTAGAATGCTCAGCTCTTCTCATGTCACTGTTTGTGCTTGACACATAAAATAGTATTTATTTGTAGTATATATGTATATACATAAAAAAGTGTGCACGAATTATGGGTTAGAAGTACGCGATACTGTACATAGTTTATGTAGTGAACAAATAAGCTTCATTGTAATTTATTATAGAAAAAGGAAAAGAAAATAAATAAGTTAATTACTTTTTACTTTTGTTCTTAAGACAGTGGTTCATTAGATGACTGTTCCTATGCATAAAAAAATGAGAACCCTCCAGGCCAGGACTACGGAAATTGCAGAGTTTGGAAACTGAAGTAGAGATGTATCATGGTAGTTTTATTTTGTGAAACTCCAAATTACAGCAACATATTGTAATTATGCCGGGTGAGATGTTTCTTAAAATTCCGTTCAAATGCAATCTCTTCAGGCCCGCCACATCCCATCTCGGGCCCTGGTACCAGTTTTCTGGCCCGGGCCCCTAGCGCAGAGGGGGGTCCGGGGAGCCTCCCTCGAGAAATTTTTGAAATTTCAAATCTATTTGGACGCATTTTGAAGCTCTTATGATGGAGATTTTCCATCAATTTCTGCAGAATAATTACGCCTTTTTTTTTACTTTCAGCACCAAATACTTTCGAATTGTTGCATTCAAAACATCTATTAATATTTTTTTTGAGGGGGACAGATGATACTTTTCAATTCTAGAGGGAGCCGGGCCCCCCTGACTCCCCTTTTTCGTACGTCTATGGCAAGGGAGTTGAGCCATTGAAGTCGAGGATGCCCAGGCAGGAGGCTCGTAGCATCCGACAACGGAAGAAAATGAAACGCAGTTACTAAAAATATCATTCTACATATACTCAAAATCTTGAAAATAGAAAGAAATCTCAAAAAAAGTAAGAAAAATCTTATAGTGCCCTAGCGTGTTTTTGAAACTTTATTCACCTTTTGCGGCATTTTTAGGGTAATTTCTTCACTTTTCCCTACGAGACAAGGGTTACGCATGAATTCGTAGTGGTTTGTCACCTGCGTCACGGGCCCCTCCAGGACCCGGGCCCCGGTACCAAGGACCCAGTATCCCCCCCCCCCTTGTGGTGGGCCTGCCACAAATAGAATATAATTTGCCAGCGCCTCATCATAAGTTCACATGGAAAACCTACTGTCAGTTAAAAAATATCCTGGCTTAAAATTTCTTCACTACACCTATGAGTGTGAAGTTGCTATTTTTGAAGAAGCGGGTTACTTTGTTCCTGCGAAAAATAGTTTTTCATAACCCGCCATACAATGCTCTGGTTTCTAGCCATCATCATTTTCCAATTTTGAAGATTTGACTGGAATGATTTCCCCTTTTTCTAAGTTTCACAAAAACCGACAGGAGTCAAGATAGCATTTTAGGCCGCCTTCTTGGGTTTACGAATTTTGGGAATTTGACTAGAAATTTGAGCTTTCCGTCGAAAAATACCCCATGATACCGAGTTTCACCGAACTCGAACGAACAGAAACTGAGATAGCATATTAGGCCACGTCTGCTATCTTGGAATTTAAAATTTAAAAAAAATGACTAAAATTTCGAGTTTCCCGTCGAAAAATACCCACAGACACCGAGTTTCAGTAAAATCCATCAAACAGGAGCTGACATAGCATTTTAGGCTACGTCCGCCATCTTGGATTTGAGAATTATCAAAACTTGACTAAAAATTCGAGTTTCCTGTCGAAAAGTACCCCTGCTTCCGCGGTTTACAAATCTCTATAACGAACAGAAACCGAAATAGGATTTTAGGCCACATCCAACATCTTGGAATTGAGAATTTTAAAAAATTGACTAACAATTCGAGGTTCCCGTTGACAAATACCATATATTGCCGCGTTTCACAAGACTCGAACAAACAGAAACCGAGATGGCATTTTAGCCCACGTCCGCCATCTTGGATTTGAGAATTTTAAAAAATTGACTAAAAATTCGAGTTTCCCGTCGAAAAGTACCTCCTGACACCGAGTTTCAGAAAAATCCATCGAACAGGAGCCGAGATAGCATTTTAAGCCACTTTATAGTCATTTCGGATTTTCGAATTTTGAATTTTTTGAATTTTGATTTAAAACGCGTGATACCCAAAATCGAAGCTCAGATTCGGATTCCTCGTAAAAATTCGATGCGATTTCATGTATCATACCCTGACACCGAATTTCAGAAAAATCCATCAAACAGGAGCCGCTATGGCATTTTAGGCTACGTCCGTCATTTCTGATTTTTGAATTTAAAAAATTTGACTTGAAAGGCGTGATACCCAAAATCGAAGCTCAGATTCGGATTCCTCGTAAAAAATCGATGCGATTTCATGTATCATACCCTGACACCGAATTTCAGAAAAATCCATCGAACAGGAGCCGCAATGGCATTTTAGGCTACATCCGTCATTTCTGATTTTTGAAATTAAAGAATTTGACTTGAAAGGCGTGATACCCAAAATCGAAGCTCAGATTCGGATTCCTCGTAAAAAATCGATGCGATTTCATGTATCATACCCGAGCATAGCGTGAAGGGAGGAGACGTAACGTAGACATACTGATTCGAGCATATGAATGCAACGTGGCAACATGGGTAGTGCTCAGTGGGTCAGCGGAGGAGGAAGAATAAGAATTTATCGTGAGGAATTCCTCGGGACGAAACCGGAATGTTAGCGCCGGCCAGCGCCTCACCGTTCGGTTGCATCTCGGGCGACCGGCGCGGCGGCGTACTTCAAAAGGGGAGTATGACAGAATTTATACGCGTTGTTTAACCTCTTTCCTCAACGCTATGATAACATATGATACATGAAATCTCATCAATTTTTCACGAGAAATCCGAATCTGAGCTTAGATTTTGGATATTACGCGTTTTAATCTATTCAAAATCGTAAGAGAAATTACAGAATTGTCCTTGAAAATTGATCACACATCAGTGTTTTTTTTACCCCGTTTTTCTTCTGCGTTCACGCAGGCCCGCCACATCCCATCTGCGACCCAGCGCAGAGGGGGGTCCGGGGAGCCTCCCTCGAGAAATTTTTGAAATTTTAAATCTATTTGGATGCATTTTGATGCTCTTGTGATGGAGATTTTCCATCAATTTCTGCAGAATAATTACGCCTTTTTTTTACTTTCAGCACCAAATACTTTCGAATTGTTGCATTCAAAACATCTATAAATATTTTTTTTTGAGGGGGGCAGATGATACTTTTCAATTCTAGAGGGAGCCGGGCCCCCCTGACTCCCCTTTTTCGTACGTCTATGGCAAGGGAGTTGAGCCATTGAAGTCGAGGATGCCCAGGCAGGAGGCTCTTAGCATCCGACAACGGAAGAAAATGAAACGCAGTTACTAAAAATATCATTCTACATATACTCAAAATCTTGAAAATAGAAAGAAATCTCAAAAAAAGTAAGAAAAATTTTATAGTGCCCTAGCGTGTTTTTGAAACTTTATTCACCTTTTGCGGCATTTTTAGGGTAATTTTTTCACTTTTCCCTACGAGACAAGGGTTACGCATGAATTCGTAGTGGTTTGTCATCTGCGTCACGGGCCCCGGTACCAAGGACCCAGTATCCCCCCCCCCCTTGTGGCGGGCCTGATCTCTTCAAGTGCCTTAGGTGAGGTCCTCAGGCAACTATCTCTTAAATTCACTGGAACTTGATGCTACAAATCAATAAGCCATTTCAAAAATGTCGCTTCAGACCAATGAAGCGCTCATAAAAGGCCTCTCTCTAGCGTTCAAACAATCGCATCAAAGAACGAATTTTGCATCCCGCGTAGCTTTGCGGATTGCAGTCTGCGAAGTTTGGAGGCGCATCAAGCTCTTTGAGACTACCGAGAGTGCTCATGAACAATGAAACCAATTTACTTTGATTACTCCTTTATGTTCTCCCGAAGTTATTTGTTCCCGAGGCAGGAGAATTTAATGCATTTGACTGCATTCTCGTGCATGATGAGTTATACTACTAAATGCTCACAGTGGAGTTTGAAACCCGAGTCGATGGAACCTAAATGTGAAGAGCTTATATTTCGAAAATAGTGAGCGCTATTTCTTGGTGCTCTAAGTTCTCAAGCTGAAACGCAAGTTTTTAATTGCCCTTACATTCCAATGTTAACAATTTAAAAAGCATCTTCAAAACCTCTCTTGAGCCATACACATTTCATTTTCTTGTAAGTGCATTGAAATTCCTGTCATTAAAAGAGCTCAAAGGAGATTTTGTTCTATATAAGTGCGTTGAGCGCACATTGTGTGAGAAATTTGATTGAAACGTTGTAGTTTTGTAAAATTGTGCCGGAAGCATCTATCAAAATGTATTCGGCAAAAAACATCTCACTGTGCGCTAAAAAAAACAATTTAACGCTGAACCCTAACACTTTAGGTAAAATGACATCAACCTCAGGCCCTAGTTTTCTTCTTCATTTTCCTCTTCATCAGCTCTGCTTCTTCCTCCTCTCATATGCGCCTCTTCCTTCTCTTTTCTTCTTGTTCAGCCTGTGTTTGTTTTCCTTCGTCGTTTTCTTCCTCTCCTTCTCATACTTCTTCTTCTTTGTCTTTTTATCCCTCTTCTTCTTCTTTGTCTTTTTATTCCTCTTCTTCTTCTTTGTATTTTTATCCCTCTTCTTCTTCTTCTTCTTCTTCTCTCTCTGCCTCTCTTTCAATTTCGGACACTGTAGAAAAATCTTGAATTATTATTTTGAATTACAGCGTCGCTTCTTTCCGACAATTTTTTTTTTTTTTTTTTTTTTTTTTTTTTTTCCACTTAAATTCTTGCGGATTTAACTTAGTCAGTTTTTTTGAGTGAAAGAAATGTTGTTTTGCTATCGTTTTTTTAAAACTAAAACTTAACGATAAACTAACGTTATCGTTCGGTTTTTTTTTAGTTGAATCCTTACGGATTTAACTTTAAAAAAAAAGAACCAAATTTTGTCGACAAGGAACGACGCTTAAAATCGAAATAATCTCTCAAGAAATTTTTTTGTTTTCAGTGAGTGCATCCTCATATGGCACAGTGTCAGAAGTCACAAGACCCGAGCTTGTGAAACGAGGGTTAAACGAACCGACAAAGTTAGTTCCCTCGTGATAATAATGAAGTCGTGCAACCCTGCGGCAAAGATAGCGCGAGCATGTTGCCAAACGCTTCACATCGTTTGCGGATCCATTGTTTTCGCGTAATCGGGGAATGGCTGGAGGTGAAATTAAATATTCTTCCCTATCTGCTCGGTTGGCGTCAGGAAGCATCATTGTTTCGCACAAGTGCAAGGAGAGGAAAATCGAGCGGCTCGTTTTTCGACGAAAATCCGTCTGAACTTCAGCGGTTAAATTGTAACATGTTTCGAAAGTTGTTTGTCCATGTTCAAACCCCTTCGAGACTTAAATGTAGTGCTGGGCATTTGCTTCAATGTTTACGTTGAGTGGTTGATTTCAGTGTCGGAGAGGGCGGCATCAAGTATGAAAATATTCGAGCCTGTTCGACGTTTTTTTGGAAATATTTTTTATGCGCTTTTGAGAGGATGCTTCGCGGTGTCTAATGTGTTTTGCCCCTCCGAGTATGCTTTGGATGGTAAGTTCTTTATGCAAAATAATTTAATGAGGATGGATCTTAAAATAATCGTGTGGTGATTATGCTATAAGTTGTATTTACCTGTGAGCTGTGTAATGCTAATACATTTATTGCTATACATAATAGCAGAACGTACCGTGATCTGCGAGCTGATTATTGGAATTGATAGAGAAAGTGGTAGATAAAGAAGCCGATGGACGAATACAGCGATCCTATGGGTGAAATCGGGTGATCGCAATGAACAGAGGAGGTCAGTATTAGGCTGTAGCTAGCGGTATTCCTCAAGAGACCTTCCACAGCTAGTCCATCATTTTCCTCCTCAGTCTATGACAATCTCCCGTTTCAACCACTATGATCACTGCATTTCCCTTTTGTCTTGTTTGTCTGACACTTCGTCTATAAATTTTAATTATCCGCCAGCTGCATGAGTTTAGAGTTTACCTCTGCGATCGACATGTTGATCAATTCCAAATTTATAAGAGCTCATGAGCCCCACCTGATGTTGCGAGGTTGTGGGATAAAGGGAGGATATTTTACACGGGTTCAAATGGAAGGAAAATTCTAATTTTCCAGCACTATCTGACAACAATGACCCCATCAAACAATCTGCATACATGAACACGTTAAACCATACCGCAAATTTCATAAGAAAATTTCATTCAAATTTACCTGGTGTAGCTCAATTAATTCAATTTCACAGCACGAGGGCAAACTTTCGTAAATTTTGTAAGGTTGAAACGATTATTTTCCATTCGCCGCCGTTTGGCAACAGTTTGTAACGATGATGTCTTACTGCTTTAGATTAATTAGATTATTAAAATAAAGAAAACGTTTTCTTCGGTATACTTCTACGTTACGCTGGTAAGATACACGTTGTGCCAAGGAATTTTGTATTAAGGTGAGTAAAATGCTAGTCATGCCGACAAAATTTTTCATGTTACGATGTAATGTTTCTGGTTAACGCGGCCAAAAATATTTCACCTCGACAAGAAAACTTTCGTTACGAAATCGGAAGTTGTGCGTGATCTAATAAGTTGCATCTTGGCTGCGATGAGTATTATTTCCTTTGTGCTTTAAGAGGCTGCCATATAAACGTTTCACTTTCGTGCAATCTATACAAACTGTCTACAGTGCTCTAAAATTGAAAGTGATAGAATTACAGCCCGAACAATTGCGTTAACACCTCCTTTCAATTTTCGAAAAATTGCAGATTTTATAAAAGGCTTAGTTTCCGTGTGAGGTAAGTGATCATGCAGAGGTGTGGTCCAATGGTCAGAAAATTTTCTTTATGAGGGTTGAGAGGGACAACTTCCATGGACTGGTCTATCATGGACCTCCTACCCTTGTAAAAAAAGGTTTGCCCTTGTCACTGAACGACCACATGTGACTCATCAACATGTAAAGCTTTGACGCCGGAACTAAAACGATGACACCTCAAAAAACTTCTGTCTCCGCATTGAATGAGGAAGTGCGGAGTGAGAAAAACAATGAAACCGTAAAGTTTAAATAAAATCATCAGGAGCTTCGAAATATAGTTTTGAAATTTCCTCAGCTGGCACCGTAGAATAGTGCCGTCGCGTCAGAAGCAACACACTGTCACACCAGTTACTCAAGTAGTTGTACGTTGCACTCCAATAGTTAAATCTATCAGCTACTCAGAGTAACCGAGATCTGCTACTACTCACAACATTCACAGTACCAGCACTAAATAGTTTCGGAGACCTGATTCACGTATTTTCTCTTGGCCCTTCTAGAATATTGCTCTTAAAATATATGTATTGCGCCAGATTAAACCGTATTCTTCACGCCATCGGTGAGAGAAAAAGTTCCTTAAACATATATCGACGGTGCGGTGTAAGTTGGCAATCACATAACTCGTTTGCAGTGTCTGAAAATCTCCGCCTCCATGTTATTTTTTTAAAGGAGAACAAATTGACATCATTTCTTGAAGTTTTTGCAGAATTTCATTCGTACAGAGAAGAAAAATCACGGCAGTTTTAAAAAAATTGCCGTTGAGTAGTTTTCCGTTTAAAAAATAAAGTATGACAGGAGGTCTGCGACGTCGCAAACCGAGATACGTGATTGCCAACTGACACCATCGATATGAAAAATTCCGTAGTTCATATTGAACGCTGAACTTTTTCGGTTTAGGTGACCCAGGTTATTTACAGGTCATACGAACCGGACTCCGGGTAGCCATAAAAACGCTCATATTTTTTACCCAAACCTTTGGTCACCCGAAGCATGGTTTGATTTCAAATGACCGAAAACTTCCGTCACCTGGACAAAAATCTCTGGCGTTCCATATCATTAGCCAGAGAGGTCAGTCCTTGTAGCCGAAATTTTTTTTCTGCGTGTATCCCAGTTTTTTTCGCTGATCCCATCAAATACCTTCGCTGTTTCAGAATCACATTTCGGTGCTCGTCATGGGCAGTGCCTCATGGCTTTCTTGGGAGTTGCTATCGCATATTGCCTTCGCACGAACATATCAGTGGCAATTGTCTCCATGACAGAGAAGTCCAGCTTAAATGCAGATGCTCCGGTACTGAACTGAACATCTCCTAAATCAACACTCAACAGTGGCGTTTCATGCTTTGCGATGAATTGATTCATTTGGCATTTAAATCTGAGATTTTCCCTCAACCCTCCTTTCCTTTCGTTTAGGATCGATTATCAGGGCATTTGCAAGGACACATTAAAAATAGATTCTTTACAATAGCTTCAAAATGGAAAATATCGATAGCCGTTGATCGACGGCTTTTTGCCGGTGGGATTACAAAAATACGGATCTCTACTACGTTATTCAAAAACTTTTAGATATTTTCAGGCAGATTTGCAACGTTGCAAACCGAGATATTGACGATGTAGGTCGGCAATCACATAACTCGTTTGCGGTGTCTGAAAACCTCCGTCACTATGTTATTTTTTGAAAGGAGAACAAATCGACATCATTCCTTGAAGCTTTTGCAGAATTTTCTTCGCACAGAGAATAAAAATCACGGCAGTTTCAAAGAATTCCCGTTTAGTAGTTTTCCGTCTAAAAATAAAATATCATAGGAAGTCTGCTACGTCGCAAACCGAGTTATGTGATTGCCGACTTACACCGTCGATATGTGGTTTGGTGGGTTCGCCATTGATAAGAGGCCTCTATTCTCAAATACGTTCACCCGGGAATGCATTCCTAAAAACTTTCAATCAAGAGAGATCACTATAATGTAATGATGAGCGTCTCTGCTTCTATATCGAGTTCGCCTTCAATAATCGCGATGGCAATATGAGCGGCTCGGCAGCACGAATAGTTGCGCGCAGTAGTATTGACACTTTCCTGTCCCGGCAATGAACACACGTCAATTACGCCCCTCGCTGTGATTAACTCATGAGTTACTTGAGGATGGTTGTCTTACAATTATTTAAGTAGAATTTTCTTTCAGTAGATGACGGCCGCAAAGCGGCCACAGACCGCTAGCTCAATTGAAATTTCCCGCATTTTTCAAGCGATAACAATTCGAGAAAAACGAATTCAACAATACGTGTGTTGAACCTCAATTTTGACAAGCATCTCAAAAATATCCACGATGACGTCCAAAAATATCCTTCCGCCGCGGGTGTACTTTCAATCGTACGACTCTTCAGCGTAATTCATGGTCCGTGCAGCCGTTTTCAATTTATGTAGTAGAATATCCGTGGTGGGACGGATATTTCTGGACACCATCTTGAATTTCTTGGCAATTTACGTTTAAATGAAACCTCAAAATACACAAATTTAATTCGTCGCTCGTAAGTTTTTATAGCTCACAAAAATTAAGAAAAATCCGATGAGGCACTCATTACTCTCCAAAAATTAAAGGAATTCAAAATGATTAAAAAAAAGCCCATTCAAAAGAAAATTTGCGTGCAGTCTTGAGTGAATAAGTGTATATATCGCCAAATGATTCTTTGAAACACTGCATTTCAATTGAATTCCTCTGGCTTTTGCCCACTTAATTCAGTTACTTCAGAGTAGTCTCCATTTTTGATAACTTGAAAATCATGCTCCAATTAAAGTTAGTGTAAAATTCCAGGTTCTTATGTGGGATGAAAAAATGAAAGGCACGATTCTGAGTTCGTTCTTCTGGGGGTACCTGCTTCTTCAGATTCCGGGAGGTCAGATGGCCGAAAAGTTTGGCCCAAAATACGTCCTAATTACAGCCGTAGGTGTAGCTGGAATCCTTACAATTTTGACACCCTATGCCGCAATTAATGGTGGTTTTTATTGGATGGTACTTTCAAGGATTCTGCAAGGGGCCGCTCAGGTATTCCGTCCCTGTCCTCAACTCTTTTTGTCTTTAATCATCTTGTGTTTCTCACTTTACATGAAGAAGTATGGTTCTTATGTGTCAAGATTACATATTCAAATACCTTTGCATATTTGGAATTAGTTTGGCTGAAAGGAACGAATAATTTTTTTTTTAATACATATTATCTGTTTTTAAATGTCAAAGAAACGACAAATAAGAAGTAGAAAAAATAAGACAGAATGGAGGAGATCGACGCAGAAAAAGAGAAATGAGAAAGAGGAAGGAGTGAAAATAAAGAAAAGGAAAATAGGAAAATGAAAAGGGGAAGAGGAAGAAGAAAAGAGAAAGAAAGGACTGTTATGCTTGCATTTCATTTAGCGGTTGCCTACATGCATTTACCGAATATTCATGCGCGCAGAAACGTGCTTTAACCCTAAATTCAGTTTCTTTTCCTTTTCAGAATTTGCAACTTTTAGGCTACAAGCACTTCATAGATTACCTTGCAATTTATCTTGTTACATATTTGTATTTTTTATTCTTCAGGGATTCTGCTACCCCGCAACGAACTTCTTTCTGGCCAAATGGGCTCCCTTACCAGAGAGAGGAAGGCTCGTCACTTCAGTATTTAGTGGTTTGGAAATTTCTTTTAATCCCGTCATTGTCTTTCGTAAATTATTTTTAAATTCTGTAGAAAATTAGTGTATTTCAGAGAATAAAGGTATGTTAGCAGCTCTGTGACAAATTTTAACTTACTCTCCTTGGGATTTTTCTCATAAAATGCTTGCAATTACAAAAAGTTTTTGAATTTAATTACAGCGGTGCCATTTTAGGAAACAGATAATCAGATAATTTTCACACAACAAATTTTGAACAAAGTTTTCCGAAAAATATGTGCATACCGGAGGAAAACCAATGCCTTATCCGGATTAAAAGCCAATTTAAATACATCGATAGCGTAACTGCAGAAATGCGCATATCGGTTTGCGGCATTGCAGACTTCCTATCATACTTCTTTTTTTACATAGAAAACCAGTACAAGTCATTTTTTGAGAACTTCGGTGATTTTTCCTTTTCATGTGAGGAACACTGTGAAAATTTCAAGGCACGATGTTAGTTCGGTCTCCTTTTAAACAATAAAAAAGGAGCAAAGATTTTGAAACACCACAACCGAGATACGCGTTTTCGCAGTTTCACTTTCGATTTGTTCAGTTATGTATTACTTAAACTTATCAAATTTTTCCCTTTGTTTTAAATAATGAGGTTTTCCCGGTCAAATGCTTAAATGTCCCCTCCGCCCGTATACCACGATATAAAGAGCATCCGAGTATTTTGCATCGGAAAAGAGGGGAGAAAAAATAATCGCCAGTGTCTGATGCGATTTTTGCAGAAAAAGTGAAAAGGACCTTAGTGTTTTCCCTTAACACCTTCAATAAATCAGGTTTTCAGAAATACGGGATTTTTTCGAGCCAACGAAAAGCACTCTTTTGAAAATTCGACCGTCCTAAAATCTAATAGGTACCTCAAAAAACTGAGGTACTTACCAGCTCTAGCGGCAAAATTGGGCGAAAATAACATCATCTACCTCACAAAATTTCTCCTCCCGTCTCTCCGACTCAAAACAATTATTGCGGTTGATGGTACCGAGGGGGAAGGGGGCACGTATTTGACCACGAAAACCTCGACATTAGGTTAAAGGGGAAAACTCAATACGCATGCAATATGTGATTTCCGATGTATGTTTGGCTGCTGAATACGAAAATGACTTTGTCTTCCTCTTTTATGCACAGATTTTCCGGAAAATTGAATTTTCTCTCGAAACCCTCTGCTTTTAGGGATACTTCAACTTATCCGGTTGAACCGATCTAGAAAAACGGAGGTCACTTCCGGAATCATCGCTGAAAATCTCTTCTGCACGACTAATCAGTTTTGGGGAAAATCTAAAAAAAAAAAAAAAAAAAAAAAAAAAAATGTTTACCAATGATATGAGTATTTTCTTCATAAATTTCAAAAACATTCGAATAAATATTGAAGAAAGTCTGGGGAAACATTACACTTTCAAATTTTCGACATAATTTGGTTGTCATCTACAGAAATTCCGCAACTTCATACGGCATATTTAATAGCATGACAGTTCTATCATACCCTACTCATTCATTCTATTCTGTGTTGACAGGGGACCGCTTTGGGATTTTAATCACTATGGCTGGTGCGGGCGTTTTGGCGGACAGTCGTTGGGGTTGGCCCTCCATCTTCTATGTTAGCGGAGCGACCGCAATTTTGTGGGCACTCGCCTATGCGTACTTCGGCGTAAATTATCCCCAGGATCACCCCACCATCACAGATGCCGAGCGGAGTTATATTTTGGATTCATTGCCTAACACGTCAGAGGATCGACAAGTACTGTACCGCAATAATTGGATGTGTTTATGCTAAAAGGAACTATGTGCATAGGATTTACGTGGGACGTAATTGGACGTATTTCTGTCAAATGGAACTATGTGCATTAAGACATGAGCCCTGAGACCCATAAGAATATATGCATAACAGGGCTCACGCCATAATGCACATAGTTCCGTTTGGCAGAAATACGTCCAATTCGTGGGTTGTCTGACCCGAACTTCGGCACCTGGGCCTTAAGTTTTTAGATACGTGATCCGAAAACTTCAGAGATCCATATGACCTCAACTTATCCGGGTCCCACGTACGAAGTTTTTTTCTCCATGTACAAAGCCTTCAATAGCACTTTTAGTAGCACCTCCTGCACAAAAAGTTGTTGCATTGATCACCGGATGTCTACTGTTTTAGCCATTTTTCTCATTTAAAATCAGTCATCCTAAAATCGGAAGGAGGACGGGAAAGTTGCCTACCAGTGGCGTGGCGTGCTTTGCGATATCGATTAATCCACCATTTGAACCTATGAAAAATAATCGATAGATAGAGTGTTCGCAGCGAACACCTTGATAATCGATTCTTTACCACAGCTTTAAATGGGGAAATATCGATAATCGATCATTCACGCCACGCCACTGTTGCCTACCCTACTCTACCTCCCCCAGTGACGCCAGTGATAGCAGGATATCAATCTTTTAGAATGTTGTTAATTGTTTAAACGGAGGACTGAAAAATCTAGATGACCAGATTCACCTAAAATGTAGGGAACATTTTCCGAATCAAACACCGCCCGCCCCGCAGTAAAGGTGTTTCACCTAATCTCATATCCAGCAAAAGAATGTGCGATAACTCTTAAATGCTGATATGGAATACTCCATACTGTGCTTTTACACTAGGGATCTACAAAGTTCACGCACTCGGAATGGAATCTGTCACTGGAGGTTGAGTTGAATTACAAGTTGTAGCACATTTCCTCTGAACAAATACTGGATGTTACATCATACACTGATAAATATTATTTTACCTTTCAGTCGATGAAAACGCCATGGAAAGCGATTCTGAAATCTGGTCCTTTGTGGGCTCTCTTGTTAGTGCATTGTGGGCAGAACTGGGGATACTACACATTACTCACACAAATTCCTTCGTACATTTATGCTGTTTTCGGATTAAACATTCAAGAGGTTGGTTTAAAATGAATGCAATGTACCTAACCCTTTTAGCGACGCGGCACTAATCTAACACGGCACAGTCAAAGGATTTTTTTAATTTAGAAGCATAAACTATAAAGGTCAGGTGGACGTACCGTTGAGAGAATGGAAACTGAGTGTTCACGGAAACAAATTTTCTGTTTATTTTCGTCGGCAGAATTCTTCAATAACAGGCAATGTGAAACCCATCCCTGGTAAAAATTGGCGATACGAGCTGAGTTTCAAAATACCATAGGAGTTCTTATAGCCGACTAAAGAAGGCTATTGAAAATCATATAGCTGGCTGTAGAAAGCGGAGCAAATCATATGGCCGGGCTATACGAAGCTATTAAAAAGTATACAGTCGGGCTATAGTTCCTATCGCCGGGCTTTACACTTTATCGCCATTGGCTATAAAAGGCTATAAGAAATTGTGTAGAAATTCGTGTGCTTTGGAAATCATTAAGTTTGATACGGAACTACCTTAATATTTACAAAGCACACATTATATTTTCCTTTAAAACATATTGTTTTTTCATCAATTAAAATGAGATGGTTCATACAAAGTGTGCAAACATTTCAAAATCATGAGTTGAAAAACGCTGACTCCGCGAGATTAAATATTAGAGCCTAACACAAAGCGGAGCGGCGACGCATTGGCGCCTACAAACCTAACAGGGATACTTCACGCATTGCGCGGCGGCGCACTAGCGCCTACGAACCTAACAGGGATACTTCTCGCATTGCGCAATGCGCCTACAAACCTAACAGGGATACGCCACGCATTGCGCAATGCGTGAAGTATTCCTGTTCGGTTTGTAGGTGCCAGCGGGCGGCGTGCCACGTCGTCTGAAGCAACTATTTCACACCAGAGGTAGTGCACAGTACCATAAGAAATTGAAGGCGCTCCAACATATTAAGAATGACAGGCATCCTTCAAAAGTACGGAGCTTTCCTCGCAAAATTAATCAAGATACTACGGCACAAAAAGAGAGCGGTAGTCTAAAAACTAACTAAGTCCTATTATCCGTATTTAGTAACGTTTAGCTTAAACTTTATCGTCTGGCTGTTGCTTAATCGCCATCGGCTATAAAAGGCTATAAGAAATTGTACAGCCGGCTTTAGGTCTATAGTATTTTGGAACACACATTCTACCGCCAATTTTTACCAGGGATGTGCTTTTTGCTGGTTGATTCTAATGATGAAATTTCTGACTAACATTGTTTCGTATTTTTTTTTTTGTAGAGTGGTTTCCTGTCAGCACTACCTTATGTTTCCAGTTTCATCATGGCGTTCGTTTTTGCGGTGATCGGAGATAAAGTAGCAAATAAAGAAATGCTATCGAAGACTACGGCACGAAAATGTTGGAACTCCTGTGGTAAGTACGGCATAAATCCATAGAATACATAGAGTCGTAATGTAAGTGGGAGAGCTGCACTTTTAAGCATTTTCCATGTCCCGAATTCCGAGACTCCTGTGTGACGCCGGGTCACTTTTTCGATACATAATCGATTGTTTGCGATACACGGGTACCCGGTCATCCGATGACAACAACAACAACAACAAAGGAGATAGGAATTACCACGTATTCCACACCGCCATTTTGGATCAAAAATGTATCGAAAAAGCGACCCGAACTCGGCGCACACCGGGCTCGGAATTCGTCGAGCAGAACATGGCGCCAGCTCTCCCATTTACATTACGACTCTATGTACTCTATGCATAAATCTCAAGGCACGAATCTGTGAATGCTGATTTCGTATCAGGCTTTCACATAGAATCATTGGTGTACTAAAAAATTCCAGAGTCAATTTTGAGTTGATATTTTCTAAAAAAAAAAAAAAAAAAAAAAAAAAAAAAAAAAAAAAAAAAACTTCAACGAAAGACCCCCGCAAATATTTAACGGATCAAATCACTTTTAGGCAGACAGGTGCTCTAGGACAGCACGAAATTTAAATTATGTGGTTTTTTCCTCTCGCAAGCTGACCAGGATCTAGAATTTTCTCTCCAAAATGGACCACTCGAAAAATCACAAAAATCACACAAAATCACATGAAATAAATCGCCATGAATTTATGAGGGGTAAGAAGAAAGTGCTAGAGAAGGACCTCTCACCCCACTCTAACACGTTGATGATGATGTGTTTAGAAACTTGAAATTTCAGGGATTCTTATTACCTAAGTACAGCTTCTCTTTGCTTAATCAACAATCTTCAGTAGGGTCCCGACTATCCCTTTCAAACCGCAACCCCCACATGTTGATGCATCATAAGAATGAGCATGATGAAGAAGATCATTTTTGGCACAAATCCAAAGTGCAATTTCAGTTTTTTTAAAATGTTCATATATTCGGGGCGGGGGGTGTACGGAGTTGTGTTTTTACCAATGATTTTCTGATACAGGTTTATGGGGAGGGGCCGCTGCATTCTGTTTACTAGCCTTTGCTGGAGAATATGAATACTTAGCCCTGACTTTGCTCATCCTCGCAGCGGGTTTAAACGGCGCCACACTCATTGGCTACCATTCTAACCATCTGGACCTGGCGCCAAACTTTTCCGGCACTCTCATGGGAATTACTAACGGATTCGGCAACGTTGCATCCATTTCTGCTCCTCTTTTTGCTGGTTTCATGCTGACTGATATGGTGAGATTAATTATTCATCACTTAAACGTCATATCGACGGTGAAACTACCAAACCACGTATCTCGTTTGCGGTGTTTAAAAATGTACACTCGCATTTTATTTTTTTGAAGTAGACCAAATCAATATCATTCCTAGAAATTTTCACAGAATTTTCTCCGCACGAAGAGGAAAAATCACAGAAATTTTCAAGACTGGACGTTGAGTAGTTTTTCATTTAAAAAATAAAGTATGACAGGAAGTCTGCGACGTCGCAAACCGAGATACGTGGTTTGGTAGTTTCACCGTCGATATGCAGGTACATTAAAGCATCGGAAAATCAATCGCAGTCACATTATTATATTGCAAGGCACCAAAAAAGCAGCAACATTATGCCTTGTTGATTGTCCACTTTGCGTCTCAACTTTCTCTACGTCCTCGACGTTTAAATTCTCAGTTACAACTAAAACAAAATATTGTTATAATAGGTGCATAATTGTAAGTTACAAGGTTTTTAGTTTCTTCCTTTTCCAGTGAAACTTCCTACACTTCTTCACGTCCTTTCAAAGGTTCACGTGAGATTTCTGTCATGTGACCATCAAACAATATATCGCAACTATTTAGTTCTATTTTCCGACCGAATTTTTTCTGATCTCATTAAAAGTTTATAACGGTGTCCTCTGAGCATAGTGACATAGTAACATAGAGGATTTTACATTATCACAACCATTAAGGGTATTCATCCCCCAGATCAAAACACTGTGTCTATAAAAGGCCAACTTTTGCACGGTGCTAACATACAACTATTTTTGGGACAACATTCAACCATACATTTACGAAGTATTTTAAGTAATATTGTTCCGAAATTTTAAAGGTTTCTTCAAGATAGTGAAGTGACCTCCTCTTCTGCCGTTAACTTCAATAGTTTTCATTGAATTTTTCTGATTTTTACTAATTATTATGAAATGAATTCCGCGGGTTTACAAATAGGTACTTTCAATGCATTGATTGTTTGATGCTAATGAAGCAAGATGACCCATCATCACTGCATCCTCTTCTATTCAACTTTTTTTTAGTCATCTCCACACAAAGAGATTTAAAAACTCGAATACGCACTTTGTTCGCAGACGTCGTTATCCGAGTGGCGAATCGTGTTTCTGACGTCAGCTGCCGTGTTCTTTGTTGGCAATCTAATATTCGTGATATTCGGCACTGCCGAAGTACAAGACTGGAACTTCCCTCCGGAAAAAGAAAAACCCATCCAGATGACCAATATATTTACGGAAAGAATAACAGAAGATTGAAGCACTCGCAAGTTCATAGGATGATTAATTTCATGTAAAAACTGACCGAGAGGTGTAAAAAATTATGTGTTACAAAAACAGGAGAAAATTGTTTAGAAGAAACACATTTCCGTGAAATGACTAATTATCCCACTCGTTAGATCACCGAGTGGAATCCAGTTGGCGTCCTTTAATTTTTATCTGCCTTCATTATAAATACATAAAGCTCATGGTGAGCTTTAAGATCAACGATGAAACTCAAATCAAGTATCTCTGAGACCCCGATTTTTCAAAAAAGAAAAGACTGAATACATTCCTACTCATCCTTGAAGGTATAGAGGAGAAATAATATTCACAAGTAACAAGGAAAATATGTTTTTTGAGGCTCTACTAGCATCCACATTTTAAAAAAAGGAGCGATTTCTTGTACCAGTGAGATTTGGATATCTATCAGGCCGAATCTTGAGAAATTTTTTCGCAACGTTGATACATTTGAACAATTAAAGCAGTACCTATCCAGAAAATTGAAAATTTTACGATAAAAATCAGAAATAGCTTACTCCATCGACACAATAGATAACGCTGGAATTAAGTTACGGTGCACGAGAAATAAGCAAACCACCCTTAGTTAGTGTAAAATACGACGAACACTATGCATATTTAATTTTAAGTCCTGAATACAACTATTCGGGCTCCAAGGATGCCCGTTGCATACTCACGGGAGTGAAGGCGTTTCGAATGTTCAGGCACTCACCATTTCATCCGCGGCGCGCGGCACCAACGGCGGGCTTTGCTGTAAAGGTTCAAAATGGCAGATAGCTTTCAATTATTCCTCGTTTGTACTATCCAAATATATCTGCTAGGCACGAATAGTTGCATACAGACGTAGGATGTAATTATCTTTTATGCCTCAAATTTGATATTTCCGCGTGCTGAGCATGATTGATAGAGAAACTATACATGTCTAGGAGATGTCTAGGGAGTGTAAATGAAGAATTTAAGTCACTCTGTCTATTTTGATCCTTGCAGTAGAGCCCGCCGCACAATGAAACGAGCCTTTCAGAGAGAGTGGACATGAAATTTGTGACTGAAACTGCAAATTTTGATGTTAATTTCTTCACGTTATGAATTGTATGGAGTGCTTCTTGAAGACATTTTACAAAAAAATCAACGAATCCACTTCTATAAAACTAACATCGATAAGAGCTTTTAGTGTTTCCACATTCTGTATGATCCCCTTCATTGACTCGCTCCACTGAGCGCCATTGGTGAAGCGGTCAGTGTCTGAAGTCAAAACGCCTTCTCTTTTGTGCGCATGCAACACGGACGACCATAGAGTTCGAATAGTTGTATCCAAGCGTTATACTGAAATTCGCTTTGTGTCCGTCACATGCGACACTAACTGAAGCTTTAATTGTTTTTTATGAACCTTAACTCAAATGCAGCGTTGCCTATTGTACCGATGAAGTAAACCATTACCGATTTTTATCGCGACATTGTAAATTTTCCGAGAAACGATTACTCTTTAAGTATGTCTTACGACGTTGCCAGCCCTTGAAATCACAAGAAAAGATATATGAGGATGATATGTAATTTCCCTCAAACCACTTTAATTAGCAGTCCTCCTTTGTATGTGTTTGCGCTAAAATTCTGGAGAACATCCGTAAAATATCAAGGAAAAATTAAATGAAATTTAATGCAATTACTAGGATTGATTGTTGTTTGTCTTGTGTTTTTTTTTTATTCCACTACGCACAAGTTTTTTCTTCAGTAACGCGTGAATTATTGTTAAGTTAGGGAACACTCATAGTGATTATTACCAAGACACTGTAAGCTTATTCTCTATTGTGCTGATTTTTTTTCAATCCAAGACTTATTCTTTTCTTTCTTTATAGTCTTTTAAAAAAATTTTACCGTCCTCTGTGTGAACCCATGAAAACTGCGTATGAACTTTAGTGCCGTCTTAGCACTTAAGACGGCGATTTATTCCGTATATATTGTTGACCACACAGTTTAGACCAACTATATGCGAGTTATTTTTAACCCGAAAGGCCTGTAATGTCATAAAGCTCTATGTGTGAGACAGACTGAACACAGACTGAAATGAGTAAGTTTATTTATCTATTTATCTGTTAACAAGATATTAGAATTATGAGGGTATGTCCACCCTATTCTGAGGGGAAACCAAAGACATAAACTCCAAAAATTAGAATGAAAATAACAAATTGAGCTCTTTTGAATGTCGGTGCAAGACTGATGAAGGGAGATTGCTCAACCTGGGCAGATGCATTGGAATCCTAGGCTAGGAGCAGTGCGGCTTGGAGTAAACGATCGATTATCGATATTTCCCCATTTGAAGCTGTGGTAAATAATCGATTATTAAGGAGTTCGCTGCAAATACCCTGTTAATCGATCCTTTTCCATATGTTTAAATAACAGATCAATCGATATATCGCAAAGCACGCCACGTCACTGGGTGGGAGGGATCTATACCGGTTTCGGGTCGTTCTTTACCTCATCAGCAGAAGTCAGTATTCCTATGCATCCGTCTATGGTAAACTTTTATTTCCCTGTGGAATAATATGGACCCTGCACTAATGTTCTGTCTGTTTCACTACAGTCACATTTTTAGTGTTTTTCATCTTCTTTTATTTATATATTCATTTTGTTACTTGCGGGGAAAAATAAACAAACAAGTTTTGGATCGGACTCCTCCTGGACGATGTAACGGGGCGCAGGGAGAATCTTGTGACGAGATGGCGGCAGGGCGCTGACAAAAAAAATTCAGCGACGTCAGTTGTCCAAATGACTTCTTGGCACAGAATACCTTTTGAAAAGACAGATACATGCGACATTTGGATATCATAGAGCGCTGGAGTGACTGGTACATTCATTTGTACTGCGACAACTAAACAATACATACTCTACAATAAAAAAAATTCTGCAGTGCTCGTAATAATTTGAATCAAGAATTAGCGACTACAAAGTTTCCATCAGGCTCACTGATTGCGGAGAGTCCTCTCAAGTAAACCTGATGCCTCACGTCTGAGAATTGTGACCCCTAAGAGAGTTGTCGTACCATGCAAATCAAACACCTAGTATTTTCGGCGGATTTTCTGTTTTTCCTCATGTGCGATAGATAAACTGCTCAGTTTTTTTGTTAGACATAGATTCCCGAGTGTTTCCATAAATTATTCAAAAATCAACGATGACGCAAGTAAACTGAAATCGGTACTATTGTTCATCTATTTTTTCACGCAGCTTTGGCCTCTTTCTCCCTTTCGTCGGGTGATATTTAGCTCACGATCTAGTTCAACTGCGGTTGAAGAGACGTCTTATTTTTTTTGTCTACAGGATTTTCGATTTTTCATTTTTTTCTGGAATTAATTAAATGAAATGGTTTTGTTAGCTCAACTTGGTTTACGTGCGTAACAAAGTAAAACTCTAAATTTTTCATTCGCAGTCAAGTCCTCAAGTAAATCGAAGACCGTGGATTTAAGATGACGGTGAAATTGAAGAAGTCAATTTATCTGTTTTTCATTTTGCAATATATTTTGAGTTGTGTAACAAAAGTGTTTCAAGCATTGTTCAAATTGTTTTGTCCATTCGAAGATGCAAAAAGTAAGTTGTTTCATTCTATTATTTTAAATATTCATTTTATATCACGAGTAGTGCGCATATCTTTATTTTACGGCCGGAATAGAATATGAATATAAGCTATGCTTGAGAAGGCGCTTCTAGTTCGTTAATTTACTATATTTTCTTTTCTTTTTTTTTGCCTCTCTCAAGTATCATCGCGATTGAACCGAATTTGGTTGATAGCATTTTAGCTGTGTCGCGAAGTTTAAATTATTAAACCCATCACCGCATAACGTTGCATTGAAACAGAAAGTAGTTTTCTTAGGGAAGGGGAGTATAATCTCCGAATTAGAGAGAGAAAAAAAAGAAAAGAATGCAAACTCTGTTTCTCCCGTCATTCTAATAATAATACGCAATAAAGATTTCTGGTCCAAAAATGTTGACTAACTCATGTATTCGATAAAGGGTCAGAAATTTGACATCAAGTTCTAATTCCTCACTCGATCATTCACTGATTTTAAATTGTGACAACTAGGCTGATTCTATCACTTCTTGATAATCTACAACACCAATTATTCAAACTTTTAATTGTTTCTTTGTTTGTTTTTTTTTTTTTTTAAATTTTAAAGCTTTGAGGCTTGTTTTTACCATAGGTACATACTTTTTATTCCACGTATCTTGATATTATACATTCCACATTACCCTTACTCTTTCTCTTCCTTTCCTTTTCTATTTTCCGTAGCAGCGTGTTCCATTATAAATTTTTGGACGCTCTACAACACGACTATTAAATAAATCCTCCGGTTGTCAAATTTTACGCAAAGTATCACCCTTTTAAATTTTTGCAAGAGAATTTAAAAAAAAAACCTTAAAAATTAATTTAAAACAATTTAAAGATTTAAAAAAATATGAAAAATTAAGAAATAAAAAAATTAATTTAATTTTCATTTTTTTTAAATTTAATTTTTAACTGTTTAAAATTTAATTTTTTTTAGAGGATTTTTTTTTTATCTGCATCGAAAGAGAGAATATTCCACATTATACCAACGAACAGGCAAGGCTGCTCGAACAAAAGTCCGTAATGAACGATAAACAATGGATCGTGCGACCACGCATCATTATCCATGAATGATAAACTTCACGAAAAAGTTGTCAAATCAAACAGAATTTCAGAAATATCACGGGAAGTAACACAGGGGCCGGCCGGTTACATGCAAGCAACGTCGCGCTGCAAAGATATAATCCATGTCTGCAGTGCGGTTAGTACAAAGTCATCTGTCGACAAAGAGTGAGTCACTGAACAACGTGACGGCGAGGAAAATCAACGAAAAATGAAATTCAATCGTTGAGCCACGATCACACTGGCAGCAGGAATGTTAAAGACTGGCCTTGCACGCTTGCGCACGCGACATTTTAGCCAATCACGAGTGGCTATACATTAGTGGCTGTTGGTGAGATCACGATGTATCCTAGCTTCTCTCCCGCCTGCTTGAGTACACGCGCACAACCTGCTCAGTTGATTGTGGACAGTGATGTGCGAGCGGAGAGGGAGGGGCCAGGAGAGCGATGAGCATGAACCCTTGCTGGACCAGTCTCCGTCTCCAGGAGATGGATCATTCTCAGGTAATCACTCTGTGAAGGGATTCATTTAACTGATCATAAAACGCTGCTGGGTCCTTTTGACTCATAGGCACTCACACGCGATTACCGTAGGTGTCGGTTTCATTAAATTTTACTTATCTGGCGGGCGCAGATTTCGTCTACCAATATGGCGGCATCGGTTTGTGATGGTTGGTGAGAATTCCGTCCTCAACATTATTGACCAATCGTCGAAGATTCCATTTTTGGCGGGAGACTTGTATTCTTATGGATACAAGCTCAACGACGGTAAAACTACCAGATCACGTATCTCGTTTGCGATGTTAAAAAATCTCCGCTCCTATGATATTTTTTTAAGGGAGAACAAATCAATATTATTTCTTGAAATTCACACAGCACAGGGTTTTCTTCCCTTAGAGAGGAAAAAAATGGAAGGTTTTGAGAATTGGCGTTGAGTAGTTTTCCATTTAAAAAATGAGGTATGACAGGAAGTCTACAAAGTCGCAAACCGAGATACTTACGTGCTTTGGGAGTTTCACCATCGATATACGGTATCGTGCACGGAGGACCCGAAATAAAATAAAATGCAAAAATGGTGCATCAAACACAAAATCAGTGCCAGACAAATAAATGAAATCTCTAATAGATTAGATGACAAAAACTGCTTGACGCTATTGCGACGTCTTAGATTTTTCACTCAAATTTTATTTTCTCTTAAATTTTAGTTTTTCTGAGTAACACTAACGTGCTTCATGGAATCTTTCTACAACTATTGATATCGAAGGCGTAATTCGGCAATCACATAACTCGGTTTGCGACGTCGCAGACTTCCTGTCATACTTCACTGTTTAAACGGAAAACTACTCAACGGCAATTCTTTAAAACTGCCGTGATTTTTCTTCTCTGTGCGAAGAAAGTTCTGCATATAAACTTCAAGGAATGATGTCAATTTGTTCTCCTTTAAGAAAATAATATATAGGCAGAGATTTTCTGACACCGCAAACGAGATATGTGATTGTAGACTCACGCCGTTGAAATCCTGCTCTTCAAAGAAAATATGGATAAATCATTAATTATAAGTAAATACTTCTATTGGTTTCCTTCTAGCCAATATATACCTCTTGCAAGTGAGTCTTTTTTAAAAATTCTCTATATAAATACCTATGACTAGTTTGTCAAACGCTATCTGGGTGTATCTTAAGTGACTATCATTTTTCACGTCACTGGTTTGCAACTCAATCTCCTAGAATCGAATTTTTTCGACCGCCTTGCTCAAACCTTTGCGATTGGCTGAACCCGCTGTCGCTGATAGTTTTGATGATGATTGCAAACCGAGTTTATTGTGGAACATTGCGAAATATTTTTCTTGCGATTTAATTAGTGGAAAACGGTTTCAGTAGATAAAACCAAACACAGCGAGCACCTAACTGATTTCATTCAGTATATTTTACGATGGAGGAATTTTTCTGTGTACTGAATTTATTGTGGCAAAATTTAAGGTATTTTTGCAAAAGGAAAACGCGATTCGTAACGCGACTGACTTGATGCAGCAAGTTTACAATGCAAAGAATCCGTGTGTTTGAGATTGATACTACGAGTCCCTAATCTTAATCAATTGATAATTTGGCAGGAATCTCAGGGTGTGAAAGTATTATACAGTGGTAGACAATAATTTAATTTTCTCAACATTTTTTAGTGCCCGATTTAGACCCTGACAGATATTTGACAGATATTAACCGCAAAATCATGAATCATACCAAAGAGGTTTTTGCAAACGCACGAAATACAATCAGATGAGAAGATTCTTCATAGGTAAAGTGGCAAGGAACACTATTCAGTGAATCAGAAATTGCTCGAGAGGTACTTACATAATAGTCATAATACGCCTTGTTAACTTAAAAGCTTGACAGGCTGACCATGGACAGGCCTGACCGCCTGACATTCTCGATCAAAAAGAGCCTTCAAAATACTTGAATACCACAAGACGTGCATGTGCCAATGATAGTGTCACCTCTAAAGTATTATGAGTTCTTTTCCTACGTGTGAGAATGCGAATACATATGTTGAGACACATAACCCGTTGAAACACCAAAAAACTGAAATAGTGTGATACAGGGGTTGAAGGTCATGATTGAATGACGGAACAAAGTTAAGCTCATCATACTTTCTCAAAATTTCCTTTTGAATAAAATAAGTTTTAGAATTTTTTCCTCTTCTCATCTTTGTAATTTTCTTTTTGTCCTTGATTGATTTCTCGATTGTTTGAAACTGTTTTATCACGTTAAAATTAATTTTTGACTGAACTTGACACTGAAAACCTTCTGCAAAGCTCTTGTTAGACATTCGCTTTCTTTTTAGAAGGTTGCGGCATTAACATCTGTAACGCAGCAGAGGAAGATGTGCCTTAAGATGGAAATTTACATTGTTCAGTGCAGCAAAAAAGTCGCTTTGGGGTCAAAAGTATCAGGCTTCCGTGTTCGATATATACCATTCATTTTTTAGCACCTCCGAGAACATTAGGTCAAAGTTTCAAATTATTCTCTTTACTTTTTAATAATGTTGTGAATGTTTGAAGTGAATCGTTTCTCAGACACTGGCAACAGCACTGGGAATCTTTTTTTCGAACTCCCTTCTTCGTCCCTGAACCTAGGGTTGCTGCCAAAGGGTCACTTTTTGGAATTTTTAGAATTTGCGGGAGCTCTCTACTCCAATAATCCCTCCTGACCACTAATGAATGCCTTGCTGGGGTTATAGTTATGTTCCAGGCAGCCCCCCCCCCCACCAACGTTAAGGCACATTTCACCCTACTGCGTGATGCATGTTCTTCAAGTATTTTGGCGATACCATTGGAATCGATAAAATCATTTCTATCTGTAAAATCAAATATTTTGGCAAATATTTTTGTTGAGTCTGTTTGTTAGCCTTCTAGATATATCCCTCAGAAGATGGAATCCATCTAGGAGGGGCATTTTAAAATACTACGCAACTTCTTTTGCACTTCTTGTATAAGAGGGTTTTTTTTATTATCATCTTTTTTTCAGCCTTTGTTAATGAATATACCCTCGTCCCTCTCCTCAATAATTACTTCACAAATAAAAACTCATCAATGCCCTTACAACGAGTACACACAATTTTATCTCCTAATTTCGTTAAGTTAAGCAAATTATTTCGCACGAATGCTTGATTTTCCGCAGGTAAAAATTCATCGTAAATGATTTGTACAAACGTTGAATCAAATCAGAGTGGACTGATAAAATTAATAGCTATTGGAGGAAGTAAAAAAGTAGGTCGAAAAAGTCGCGAAAAAATTACAACATGCAGTCGCGTAATCGCTGATGAAACACTGTTGCCGGTATTTGCAAAGAGCCATACAAGAATATCAATGCGTGGAAATAAGTAAATGATTAGATGTGTACCATCTAACCTCATAGACGTCAAAACGGTTAGCGCGTTGCAACTAAAAAGGAGTAGGAATGAAGAGAACCGAGGAGACAGTATTTACTAGTCTCCCTCTGGCGCTGATAGTTTCCACGTCGAATTTTCACACGGATGGACCTGCCTAATTACCACCGACCATTCGCGTCTCGATTCGCTCGCTCGCGGCCACCTATTTTCAGTTTCTGGTTGCAAATCAGTATGCCAGTGATCATTGAGGGTTGATGCGTTGTGGTGCTGAAGAAATAAAAATTAAAACTTTCCGAAGTTCGTCGGAAGGATTGTATGAGTTATTTCTCGCTAAAATATCTGGAGGGCTGATAGTCTTTTAGACATTAATGATACTGTTCAACATTGATACGCCAGTTCGTGTATTTGTGCGTTCACGTGCGTGTGTTTGTTTTCATTTCGGGTTTTATTCTGTGCTGAGTACACATTTTCAACCTTGATTAAAACGGTGAACATGAGGTGTTTTTGAGTGTGTGTTTGGATCGTGTGAAAAGCTGCAGTTTTTGGAGACACGAAAAATCTCAACGGAAATGATTCCTCAACTAGCAAGTAAATATGACATGAATTTTTTGAGACGCTTGATATTGGTTCTATGTATATTAAAGTCTTGTAGAGAATTCGTAAGTAATGCCCTGATATCTGCGCAACGCAACAAATTTATTCATTTTAAAACGATAAAAAGAAGATTGTTGGTCCCTATTGGCCCTGAAGTCACTAAATTTCCAAACTCCTAGCCATTTCAAGGTTTTGCATTGCAACTTATTGACATCTTCTTTACATCCTATTATTCATGAGTTTTTGCACGATTAAACGTCAAATCAATGATCAATGAACACATTTATAACTTTTTATTTTCATTGTTTCAATAATCTTATCCGGGGTATTGTAATCAAGCGTGAGCAAGGAACATTGTTAATGAATTTACATAAAATTAGACATTATTTGACTTTGCTGCGAAAAATATAGAATATTATTCTGCCGCTTCGCTACATGCAGCCATACACACACACATGCATCCCCCCTCCCATGCACACCGCATGCATCTATACATATGCTGTATGTCAGCTATATGTACCCTCAAGATGATGAAATTTTTATACGATGAGCTTTGAGGTCCCCAGGTCCTTCGTAAGGTCTCAAAAATCCCATCGTTGCTCATACTGGTGGTTTTAATATCATCGTGTACGAAAGCTCGTAATGAAACCAACACTTCATTGTGGCATGACGTTTTCGGAAAATATTGTTGATAATACACACTGGAGAAAAAATATAGTCTCCTAGCCATGAGTGACGAAAAAAATTTAAAGTAGTTTTGTTCTCGCTCTTAATAACTTCTTTTTTCTATTTTTAATCGGAGATTTTAATTTCGTAATTCGAGCGATCACAGTCGGCGATACGAGAGACAAATTCAAGTACCCACACCAGTTGTGAATGAGTGATACTTGTGGATTGTCGTACTACGCACGCACATTACACACGCATCTCGCTGGTTGTCAATTTAAAAACCATTTTAGTTTTGTGTCGATTAATTAATGTAGGACGGTATCGTCAAGACCACATTCAGATGTTGCCCCTATTTTTCTGGTATTTTGGTGAGATGTTTAACTACATAACCATTTTAGCTTGGTTCCCAGAGTGAAGACCTTTTTTTAAACTATTGACCCGGTTACTTGCCGACTTATTGGCGTGGTGATTCGATGAAACTGAAAGATTTCACGGAGAATTATTCATTTGGGCAGCAGTGGCGTGGTATGCTTTGCGATATATCGATTGTTATGCCATCTAATTCTATGGAAAAGGATCGAGAAACAGGGTGTTCGCAGCGAACACCTTGATAATCGATTCTTTACCATAGGTTTAAACGGCATAACAATCGATAAATCGCAATTCACGTCACGCCACTGTTGGGCAGAATCCTAGTCTGCCGGGCAAAGGAAATACCTATTTTGTATGAGCATGAGCCAGAGACGCCACCATATTTTTTTTTTTCCAATTAAGGACGGATTTTTTTTTTCTTCCTCTTCTTTAATTTGTCAATTTCCTCCATTTTTAAAGGGGAGGGGGGGTTTGTAGAATTTTTATCCAGCGAATGTAAAATTTTCAAAGAGAGGTATCCTAAAAAGAAAAAAGTACATTTTTTCGAGAAAAAATTTGCAGCCTTCGAAATTACGACGTTCTTCCCAAGCGTGGCAGAAGATTGTGGACTGTGGAGTGAACTTGGAAAACCAAGCGCGCAAAATTCTCGAAACAGTCTGTGCTATTACTACGGATGAACTCTACTTGCATCGCTTTTTCCCGTCATAATAGCAATTCTGACAACAGGGCAACCGATTCTACAAAGACCGTGTCACGTGTCATTTCCTGAGCTACGGTCGTGCCAAAACCGCAAGTTGCAACTACACTCTACAGCACAAGCTTTGGGGGTTTAAATCATATTTTTTACTCAGTTCCTCTTGGTTTCACCGAAATTTATTTTTCTGCGTGCCCATTCCTCTTTGAAAGAACCTGAAGAAAATGGAACATGCTCCAATACTACTCCTTCCTTTGAACCTTTTTGACTAGGCCGCCAATAACAACAGCCAGACTTGCTTGTCATGGAAATTACTTACAATTACTATCACCTTAATGGCTCAACAATCAGTTTCGTGAGACCAGACAGTAATCAGAAAATAAACTATCTCAAGTGCTTCATCTAGTTATGAAGTTTGTCTAATCATGTTAAATCGTCGCTTGTCTGACGTAAGGGCGTATCTCAATTTTCACGTGAGCCCTGTCTTACATACAGATTCATGCTCTCTGGGGCTCATGTAAAAATCGAGATACGTCCTTACGTCAGAGGAGCAACGAAATAGTCCAGGTACGCGTGGAGAAAATTTAAAGCAATCAAAGTTTATTTATTTTCCCCCTAACAATAAGTCTCACTGGGAAATTTTTAAACGTTGTATTTGAAAAATTCATGGTTTTACAATCCAACCGTCGAGTAAACTATATCCTGTTAGATTTGACTTTATAAATGAGCATCTTTAACCAAAATTATTGTTTTGGAATGTGGGTCACAATTCGTGACTTGAACAACAATCGAACACTCGAGTTTATTTGTCTTTCATCGTAGGCATTCTCTAGGACGCTTTATCCGATCACTCGTAGCTCCAATTTTGTCATAAGACGTTGAATTTTTGAGCGAGACCAAAGTTTTCAACAAGACGACAACACAGATAGTTTCGATTTCAGTTTTGTAATGAAATTTCAACATTCTGAGAGAAACTAATTTTGATCCGACGATATCGAAATTCGATTCGATAATAGTGTGGATTGGAACGGACGCGTCACTTCCGGAGCGTGCATTCGGAGCAAATATTTCAGCAGCAAAGGAAAAGAAAAGCCACGGTGAAAGAGCAAGTGTTGGTGCAATTTTACATAACCTCGTCTCGATTCCCATATCGAAACGCCTGCCTTAGCCCGATATCACGATCGTATCGGCTAGATCAAACCTTGACAAGTGAACAGTAAACAGGAGGGACAAAGTGTAGTGCCTACGTCAAATATTTGCGCTGATCTCTTATGCGTTCGTCCCACCTCAAACATGATTCCCCGGGAGCTCTCAATTCCTGATTCGTGTTGTAATTATGTGCGTGCACTGATTCGAATTTCTGTTTACAACATTCTGTTAGCGGTAAGGAAACCAGTGCGTCCTATCATAGTTGGAAATTTCTATCAAACAGATGTACGTGCAGCAGGGGCGTACTGGGACCCTTAAAGGGGCGCGGGACAGACACTTTGAGGGCGCCGCCACAGGGGAAGGGGGGTCTGGTGGGGAGTCCGGGGGTCCTCACCCGGAAAATTTTGAAAAACAAACCTTTTTAGACGCAGTTTTAAGCTATTCTGAAGAAAAAATAAATGAAAAATGGTTTCGCATATTCGAGTCACTTTACGTGGTTTTAAATGAGGAAAATTGTACCACAAGATCTCAGCACCACCTTCGGCGCACCAACCTGCCTTGTTCCCTTATGCACTTGTCCGGAAAGGGGCGCCCTGTCTCTAAGTAAGAAAGCATGCTCTCTTTTACCGAGAAGGCGCCCTCTTACATCTTCATTGTTGCATGATTATTATTATTTTTTTTTCATTTTCTGGAAAGCAGTAGGGCGTCAGGGCGCCTGGGCGGGAGGGCGCACCGGGACATGTCCCGGTGTCCTGGTGGGCCAGTACGCCCCTGATGTGCAGGTGAGAGATATGGGGTGTGCTCGTCAGTTCTCTGGCTTAAGAGTGAATGAGAATAATGAAGCGCCAGTGACGTCAACGGAAATGGATGCGGCTCCTCGGTCGCTGCTCCTCGCAGTGCGCTTTAACTCATGAGCCCTGTCTACAACGCTCTCGTGCCATGCCCGCGGCTCATATATCCCGCATTCGGTTGGCACACAGTTCTGTTTGCTGAATTTAAAATCCCGCTTTTCCAATTCTTCAAAAGGAATCACGCCCACTTTTACATTGTTTCATGAGCAGCTTTCTAAAGCACGCCCCATATTTTTCACCTGCGCATAGTTGAATCAGTGAGAACGAAAACACACCAACTCGGTAACTCAAAAATGCCCAATTTTCATTAAAGACTGTCAATTTTCTTAGAAGTCATTGAAGTTAGCGCATCTCTGTTCCAACTTGCACCTTTAAAGTTTCCTCAAATACTTGTTTTTTGGTATCAATAATATTAATCTTCGACTAACTTCTTGACCTACTGTGCAGTTTTGTGCATGTCTTGAATATTTTCATTTTTTCGAGTTGATGTGTTTTCGTTCTCACTGATTCAGTTCTGTTTGATAGAAATACGTCCAGTTTTGAAAAAGACCTTTGTGCAATAGTGCTAACAATGTTGAAATGCATCAGATATGGACACATACGAAATTGGAGGGAAGCGCCTCGGACACGAGGATTGGAAAATGGGGAACCCCTTGCATGAACCACCCAAGGCTCCATTCATCTCCTTAGAAATTAAGGTGTTTTTAAATCTCCTTGATATTTAACCTATTTTCTTAGTGCAATGCATTTCACGAATTTTCATGGATGGACTAGAAATGGGGGCTCCCTTTTCTGAGATATAGTCTAATTTATGACGTCATATCGTAGCATTGTGAGGACGCAGCATTGCCGTGCAATATTCAAGTGCGGTCACGTAAAATCAATCAAGCATTAGAGAGTAAGCGTTAATTTTGATAAGCCGCGCGAAATCATAAATTTACCGTGAAGGTTAGTAACGGTAGCGCGCGTTCGGAAATTATATCCGATCATTATGCATGTCACCAAAGCAGTTTCCTGATTCACAAAGGAGATCTCCGAATTGATTTTATACTTCCTCCGGTGCACCAACACCAACATCCTCCACAGCTCCTCGTCGAGACAAATCCATGGTCGAGACTCCAGAGACGGAAATCATTTTTTATGCGAACCAAGCGCACATTCGCAAAATAATTCTATCTAAAGAAGTCATATAACTAACATAAAAGAGAGGGTTACAACCTGAGGGCGATAACATAATCGCGAATCAACCATCCGTTCACGTTGAAGGTTGAAGCAGACTTTTTGCGGTGAAGATCACAATAAAAGGTAAAGTTCAAAAACCTTAATTGTGATAAGCTGAATCGAAAGCTGCGCCATAGTCGATACTTCGCCATTAAATTGTAAAAGTAGTAGATAATTGTAGGCAGTTGCAGGTAAAATGTTTTTCTCGTGTTTTCATCTCTGGCATTTAAGCCTTTTTAAGAATGACCGATTCAATTATTGGCCTTAGATACTCTGACCTCGTGTCGTTAGCTAGTAATACTCTCCCTATACAGGCGCTCTGTTATTAGAGTGCTACTACCAGTGGCGTGGCGTGAATAATCGATTATCGATATTCTCCCATTTGAAGCTATAGTGAAGAATCGATTATGAAGGTGTTCGTTACGCACACCCTATTTATCGATTCTTTTCCATTGTTTTAAATGGCAGATCAATCGATATGTCGCAAAGCACACCACGCCACTGGCTACAACTGGAAACGAACTCGGGTCCCGTGCACCTGTGAATAAGTGAGAAAAGCGAAAACGCCTTCAATTTTTAACATGCAACGCGCACATCCATGGAACACGAATAGTTGCATCAAGGCGCTACAGTCAACTCATTCTAGTCTTTGAAAAGCGGAAACTTTTCCAATTTTTGAATATGCAACACGCACATCCAAGATATTAAGAATATGAGCAGAATTTTAAAAAAAACACTCGTAAAGTATTAAAACTTTTTAAGGAAGGTATGAAATAAATAAGTTGTAAAATTGATTTGTGTAACCCGTAAATTTTCTTGATACTGCAATAAGTTTCGTTCAAAACCTCGTGAATGACGGGGACATTCGTCGAATAAAGTATGTATTGCATTTAAAATTAACGAACGGGGCGTTGCGTTGGAGTAATTTTCAGGCTTTTGACCGGCCAGTCCGCATAGACTAGCTGCCCGATTCACGGAACGGGTAAGAACATCGGCCAGTTCGTGGCCTAGGAAACTGGGATGACCTATCCACGGACAATACAAAAAGGTTTCCCAGTCTTCGGACCGGGCAATTTCGCCAACAAAGTGTATCAACTATAGTCGAATGCAATATTTCGCGTTTGGATACCTTTAATTATATTATCGGGTTCACAAAATAGATTACTCAGTAGGGAACGGCTCAGATGTTCCTCCAAAGTGTAATAGATCCGATTTTTGCGCAAAAGCTGAGGGGGTCCCCTTGAACTAACAGGTTTGATTCGTTTTGTTACAGACTCGCAATTCGGTGTGCGACATGTCCAGTGTTTTATGGCTTTCCTGGGCATCGCCATTGCTTACTGTCTCCGCGTCAACTTATCAGTGGCGATAGTCTCCATGACACAGAACTCAAGCTCCAGCGCAGATTTTCCGGTAGCGTCATTTAACACTTTACACATCCTCGCATTTTTCAGCCGACACATTTAATTTTTCGAATGAAACGCAGAGGGTCAAAGGCATACAATGGGCAAAAATCGAAGCCATTCGATTGCGGAGCAAGTTATCGAAAGATAAATGCCTTATATTTTGCACTGTAGAACTACTATTTTTGACTCATCCATAAGTGTATCTATCTGTACTATCTAATATGGAAATTACAGGCACAAATGCTGTTTTTAAAATGAGTCGAAAGTAGGGTTTTCATATTGCAAAATTTAGTTTAAAAGGACGAGATATATCTACGTCGTATCGATCGTCGTATCGTATACAGATCGTCATTACTTAAAATGACGTCGTAATGAGAATATGAGACCCTTTTCCGTCTATGCCTTTAAAAAAAAACGTCCAACTGATGCCCGAACTTGACACGAAGTCAACTTACTGCAGCATCACTGTGTTGAAAGTTATCAAGAATGAGTCACTTTCTCAAGCTGCTGCTCCAATTTGATATTGTGACGCGTAGGCAAGCGCCGAATTTGGGTGAATTTGTTATCATCACTTTTCAGAAAATTAAAAAAAAAAAAAAAAAAAAAAACTGGAAAAGGCGGAAAATTTTAAAATCAATTTTCAAATTTCAGCCGTAGGTAAATAGGTAAACTCGCAAAAACGCGTAACTCGTTTGAGGTGTTGCAAAATCCATACGTCCATTCTTTTTCATTAGAATGATACGGACTGAATCGATTGCTTTAGATTTTAGTATAATTGTGCTGAGAAATTTCACTTCCTTTTTTATCGGCCGTTTTGCCCAACTTTATCACAAATGAATTGAACTATACAATATACATTTTGCAATGGGGAACTAACATTTCTGGCTCGTCTGTAAAAACGCGTATGTGCATAGGCCAACCAGTGGTACATTGGTGCGTCATTTATAAACTGAGCCAGAAATTTTAATTCGGGGTTGCAAATTGTAGTTCAATTTAGCCTCGTGCAATCCAATACGATGCGCTTACAATTGCTTCGAAACAACCGTAGGTGGAATTGGCAAACCTTCGAATGACGCTTTTTATTTTGACAGTTTGATATTACAGGCGTTGCCATGGGACGAGTCCATGAAAGGTACCATTCTGAGCTCCTTCTTCTGGGGCTACTGTCTCCTTCAGATCCCCGCTGGGCAGCTGGCTGAGAAGATTGGTCCCAAATTCCTTCTCGTGGCAGTTGTATTTTTCGGTGGGATCGTCACAGTTCTGACCCCCTTCGCTGCGATCCACGGTGGTTTCTATTGGATGGTCTTTTCTCGGATACTCCAGGGAGCTGCGCAGGTATGTTCACACTGGCTCAACAATGAGATTTTCTTTTATTTATTCCTCAGTGAGCTAATATTTACATATAATGATACAATATTTACATTGTGAGGCGAGCCCAGGTCTGCCATTGGGCAATTTAACGAGGGAACATTGAGCTTGAAACTGTTTTGATAATAATATGAAATCGAAATTGCCTCAAGCCAAAACTCATAGTTGGACCACGTTTAACAGAAAGGAACCAAGCCACATCAGCTATTGCCAAATTTAACATGGCAATTTATTTTTTTACGAGTAAGCGTTTGTGCGGACTCCTATGAAACTTTTCAGGAATTTGCTTCGTACCATGAAGAAAATTCACTGAAATTTGTACGGAAATCCGCAGAACCGTTTCCACGTAAAACATTAAATAGCCCAATTAAATTTGGCAATAGCTGATGTGCTTTGATTCCATTCTGTTTAACGCGGTCCAGTTTGTCCTACGTGTTATACCTAGATATTTCGCTTTACTCTAAGCGATGAAATTGGGTGAAGCTGAAGTCCGTGCGGAGGTCAACGCTAATTTTCGCCTAATAATAATTATAGACTCAAGACACCCAGCGAAGGGTCATGCATGGATAATAAAAATCGAATACTAAAAGACGGAATTTCATCATGAAAATTAGTTGTAAAAGAATATAAATTTAATTTAAAAAAGAGACTATGTGAAAGATGTTGGCTTGTGAAACAGATAAAAAATAAGAGAGATTTCTGTTAGAAGAATCAACGACATCAATACCGCCGTGCTAAGGAAAAACGCGGTATGAACCTTCAGGCATTGCCAAATTTCCTTTGATAAAACGCAAATTTCCTGGTAAATTTATGAATATTTTCCTCCCAATTTTTCAGATAGTTTAGTTCGCAATTTTACCGGAAGATTCCGAAAATTTCAAGGAAAAATATTCATAACTTTCCTAAAAAATAAACGTTTTATCGAAGGAAATTCGGCAACTCTCGACTGTTCATACGGCGTTCTTCCTTAGCACGGCAAAATATTACCTAGAATCGATATTACGTCACACCATTGGTATAAGGGCGTAACTACACTCTGTAATAAACTCTGTTGTCGATACAATTAAGTGCTTTTCCGGGCTCATCTCAACGTGTAGTTACGCTCCTTTGTCTGCTGGGCGACGACCGACGATTTATAATGCATTTAATTGGAGGTAAATGTTGTTGTCAACTTGCAAGAATCGCAACCGGCAGGAATTCTAAGATTGACGTAGAAGCTACAATCTCTTGATTATAATAATATTTATTTGAACTTGCAGGGATTTTGTTACCCTTGCTCAAATTTCCTGCTTTCAAAATGGGCGCCAACACCCGAGAGAGGGAGACTCTTCACGTGGGTTTTCAACGGTATGTTAAAGGTCGTAATTTTATTATTTTCAAAACTTGAAAAACGTCGTGTCCCACACGAGGGTACGTAACTCAATTCCAAGGATTCAAAATTGACTCAAACAATTCAATTTTTTACGAAAATAAACTTGCAAAGTTTTGGTCGAAAATTTGCCTGATTTTTATGTGAGATCAGAGGAAAAATTAATGAAATTTTCAGTCAGAAATTCTCAAAATCCTCCCGATAAAAATGCAATTTGCGCCGAAAAATCTGACAACATTGAAATATAGTTGAGTTCTTTCGTGAGAAAAACAATGAAATGTTTGAGTTTCGCTCGAGAGAGACTTCTCTGTGTGTCTTCTTTGTCTATAAATTTCAAAAATCATTCCGCAGCGTACCTATAGTTCATTGGCCGAATCTAAGGATGCGATACAAAGATACTTCAAGTTCGAGCCTCGAGGAATGCGTTTGTTTCATTTTCTCATGTTTGTTTTCCGATAATAACATCTATTAGGTATCATTATAGCGCAAGCGTGAAGGATGATTGTACGAAATAGCCTGACAACTTGTTTGTGAACAAATGAAACAAAAATCGGTAAAAAAAAATCCCATCTCCCGCGCTATGGTGACCTTACTCACGGCGTATCTTCGAATGACACCTTTCTTTCATTACAACTCACTTAGCAACGCGCTGCGTTACGCACAGCATATTAATGGCGGGTTCGGAAAATGCACTTCATTAGTACACCAAATGTTACATCTCTTAGAACGCATATTGATTATGAAATTAGGATAACACACATTTCAGTTTGCGTTGTTGAAAATGCCATGTCATATTCTATTTCCTCAAACATGACTAATCATTTTTGTGTTTTTTTCTTTGTCCTGCTTCCAAGGGTATTCTCTTAAAATTCAACGCGTCTCCCTAATCAATGATAAAAATGCTGATTTTGAAGCAGACCCCTCTTTTCTTAAGTCTCCATGCGATTATTTCCCTCCTGCTAGATGCAATTTTCGGAATCGTCCAGTTAAACTAATCAAAATTTATCCGAATAACCGTTACTTAAAGGAAACACTAGTTGGACCTCATTTTGCAATAAGGAACCACTATTTCTAAGTCATTTTAGAAACAGCATATATGTCATTGGTTTCCTTATGTAGAAAGGTGCTTTTATGGAAGAGTAGGAGATAGTGGTTCCTTATTGCAAAATGCAATCCAGTAACACTCTTTGTACCTGAATCTACCTTCGAAGCCATGCATAACTCTTAATTTTCTATTCTCGCGGTAGTTCAGGAAAGTCCTTCAGAAAAGCGCTTAAAAAGCGTAGATAGATCTTCCTTGTTTTTTAAATGACTGACGTTGTTTTTTAATATGCTGACATTTTCAGGTGGGCAGTTTGGTACTCTCGTGACGATGGCCATGGCCGGTGTACTGGCCGACAGCCGGTGGGGTTGGCCATCAGTTTTCTACGTCACCGGCTCCATTGCCATTCTTTGGGCCCTGGCATATTCCTACGTAGGTGCAAACAGCCCTCTAGAACATACCTCAATATCGGAGGCTGAAAGGAAGTATATCATAAGCACGTTGCCCAGCGTATCATCCGAACGAAAAGTAAGACTTCAAAAAATTCTCAACAATAAAAGATTTCACAGAATATTCATACTCTCCCTGGAAGAAGAAAAAAAAAAAAAAACTCCGGGCCTGGGCGGAATATATTTTCCGGTTTACTGGCTGGAGCTTTAGAAACGGAGCTATAGGGATGGAAATACAGATTGTAAGTTCCAGATTTGAGAGCCGGTGTTTCGGTCACTAAACACGGCGCGGCTATCCGAAATGGACGGCCTTTAATGAACGAACGGTGCTCATTCAGCCCGTGTTAATGGTTTTTAGACCTGAGGCTTTTTTTGTCATGCTAAAATTGATAATTGCCATAGATGTAGGCAAACTTTAAATGATATAGGGTTCAATGCCTTGAAAATGCAACGGGGCGATAACATTTTCGAGAATGATGTGATGCTATGCTGATGTTCTTCTAGTAATACAGTGGCTGGTATGTACAAAAAATCATGCGTTTAAAGTATTTCGTCTCAAAATTTCACTTAAAAGAATACAACATGAACAGTTAAAAAAAATTGAAGGAAAAAGGGGGAACAGGGGAAAAGAAAAACGCTAGATGTGATTCGAATGCCAATATTAATATGCATTCATCTCCGTAATATTTTTTTGTGAACTGTGTATAAGTATTACGTTTGAAAGTAGTAAAGTCCTCCTTTAACGGTTGCGAATTAATAGAATTTTATGTTTGCCATTGTTGACTCATGAAAGAAAAAGCAATGTGTCGAGTCCACATTACGGCTATACTCATAAACTCAACTCAAAATGTATGTGAGGGTGCCACTGTGTGACTGTGTATAGCAGGGTGTCCGTGTCCCTTCGATGAGCCGAAAAATGCCGCATCTGATCAATGAGTGCGAGAGAGATAGAAATAGACGACAAAACAAGCAGAGAACTCCAACACAATGTGTTGATAAGGCGCGTCATTAACTCGCACATATCAACCCCTTTAGTTTTCATTTACAGAGATTTCAAAATAGGCAAACAGCACAACAAGAGAATTCACGATCCAACACTGCGAGGTCAAAGACGCACCTTGACGAGACCGTGTATTGTGAAAGTAGAAAGCTATTCGATCGAATTTAAGTTTTTTNGATCTTCCTTGTTTTTTAAATGACTGACGTTGTTTTTTAATATGCTGACATTTTCAGGTGGCCAGTTTGGTACTCTCGTGACGATGGCCATGGCCGGTGTACTGGCCGACAGCCGGTGGGGTTGGCCATCAGTTTTCTACGTCACCGGCTCCATTGCCATTCTTTGGGCCCTGGCATATTCCTACGTAGGTGCAAACAGCCCTCTAGAACATACCTCAATATCGGAGGCTGAAAGGAAGTATATCATAAGCACGTTGCCCAGCGTATCATCCGAACGAAAAGTAAGACTTCAAAAAATTCTCAACAATAAAAGATTTCACAGAATATTCATACTCTCCCTGGAAGAAAAAAAAAAAAAAAAAACTCCGGGCCTGGGCGGAATATATTTTCCGGTTTACTGGCTGGAGCTTTAGAAACGGAGCTATAGGGATGGAAATACAGATTGTAAGTTCCAGATTTGAGAGCCGGTGCTTCGGTCACTAAACGCGGCGCGGCGCGGCTAGAGCTATGACTCCTAAATCCAAAATAGACGGCCTTAATGAACGAACGGTGCTCATTCAGCCCGTGTTAATGGTTTTTAGACCTGAGGCTTTTTTTGTCATGCTAAAATTGATAATTGCCATAGATGTAGGCAAACTTTAAATGATGTAGGGTTCAATGCCTTGGAAATGCAACGGGGCGATAACATTTTCGAGAGTGATGTGACGCTATGCTGATGTTCTTCAAGTAATACAGTGGCTGGTATGTACAAAAAATCATGCGTTTAAAGTATTTCGTGTCAAAATTTCACTTAAAAGAATACAACATGAACAGTTCAAAAAAAATTGAAGGAAAAAGGGGGAACAGGGGCAAAGAAAAACGCTAGATGTGATGCGAATGCCAATATTAATATGCATTCATCTCCGCAATATTTTTTTGTGAACTGTGTATATTACGTTTGAAAGTAGTGAAGTCCTCCTTTAACGGTTGCGAATAAATATAATTTTATGTTTGCCATTGTTGATTCATGAAAGAAGAAGCAATGTGTCGAGTCCACATTACGGCTATACTCATTAACTCAACTCAAAATGTATGTGAGGGTGCCACTGTGTGACTGTGTATAACAGGGTGTCCGTATCCCTTCGATGAGCCGAAAAATGCCGCATCTGATCAATGAGTGCGAGAGAGATAGAAATAGACGACAAAACAGCGCACGACCAAGATAAGTTGAGCCTTGCTCCCCGTTACTTGGAGCTCCGTCGTGCTCTCTGGGATTCTTTCTAAGAAGCAATTAAGTGGTCAATTTGCACCAGTGCTTTCGCCNGGGGGGGGGGGGGGGGAGCTTGAGCCTGCATTTTTGTGAAGGTGCAGTACAGTGTGTGTTTTTTTTTTAAAAGTGAAATTTGTTTCTAATCCCCTGCTCTCAATTGTAATGTCTCGTCCGTGTCCATCCACCATTACTCCAAATATTCTCTCTACGACATATTCTTGATTCTCAAAAGTTTTTTCTTTATTCCTTTTTTTTCATTTCAGGCCTTTAAGACGCCTTGGAGATCAATTGTGACTTCAGGACCACTGTGGGCGCTTCTCATATCTCATTGCGGTCAAAATTGGGGCTTCTGGACGCTACTGACGCAAATACCTTCTTACGTCAACGCTGTGTTCGGAGTCAACATTAAAAAAGTGAGTGAACTTGATTTTGGGCATTTGAATAATTGTAAGAAAGTACTTCAAATATGGAAGAGTATAAGAAACCATGACATAAATAATTACAATAGCTATTGTATCAAAAACGGAAAACGAGGAGCTACTCAGGAGAGACAAATGAATGCTCATGTCAACGCCTTAATGCAACTATTCCAGCTCCTCGCTTGTGCGGGATGCATTCGTAAAACTGAAGGCGCATCATTGCTCTTTCCCAAATACCTGATCAGCATTACACGCGCGCAAAGCGCCTTCATAAGTAAGTGCAATTGTTTTGTTTCTGTATAAATGAATGTGAAACCAAGATGTAAAGACGGAAAAGGGCCATCAAGAGGATCAAGTAGAATAAAAATTGTCCAGCATATAAAACAGAAATTAGATATTCTTAATCCAAAATCAACTTTTCATTTTATCGGAGGTAAGCTCTAAAATATATGTTTTTTCAAATTTTCAGAGTGGATTTTTGTCAGCACTACCGTATGCTTCAAGTTTTATAATGGGTTTTGTATTTTCGGCGATCGGCGACAGACTAAATAACCGTCAAGTTTTAACGAGGACAGCGTCTAAAAAGATCTGGAACTCCATTGGTATGTATCAGAACACCATATTTGGATAGATGTAACGATCATCGGCGTAATGAAACGTTACCTAATTTCATCTGAGTTGATACGTAATTTGTAGAAAAATAGGCAACATTCTGACTTGAAATTGTATGAGATTATTCTTCATAATCTATTGGAAATTCGCACAAAATTCCTAGCCTCTGGCTGATCACATTTTGTGGAAAAATAAATATATATTATTGGATCACGAAGGGAAATTACATACACAACGTGAAATGCGGGTAGGATTATTCTAAATTAAAGTATAAATTTGACCCTCGTAGATTCCAACTCTCAAATTGGTTGCAATTTTCAGAGAAAATATGCGACAGATTTCAAAAAAATTGCAAAATTTTGCAGTAAACTTACAACAGATTGAATTTTTACTCTTATGATCAATTTTCCTCAATATTAAGGGATTCCTTTACGAGAACCGTTCGTTGGCCCTTCCATGTGGAAGGATATAAAATAAAAAAAATAGCAACCTGACTTGAAGTTATGCAATTTTTTCCGCCATCATTGGAATTAATTACAATCATTTATCGTCCCTCAATTGGGAAATGGAGATATATATATGACCTGGAAATAATGAAATTATGAACGCTCTGATTTTGAAGAATTTCATTTAATATTACTAATTTTTTAGAGAACGTGTGGATTTTTCTTTGGAATTGTTCTGAAAATTTTACTAGCAATCCACTCACACGCGCGTTCCTGGAAATTCTAAGCGGAGATATATATCAGTTTTCTCATAAATAAATTTTTTATCGGAAAAAAATTTGACAGCATTCAGCTTGCACAGAAGTCCGAGCAGCAGCATAATTACTCTGAGAACTTAAGTTTGAATAGGTCTGTGGATTTTGCAACACGGAACGATTATTTCTGACTCATATATTATGTGTCATTAAATTATTAGTCCCATACAGATGGTTATTTTTATGCATGATAGCCATACATAGTGTTTTCTTATTGCGGAGTGAAACCTTTCAGTATTTAGGTATAGGTGCATTTTTTGTCCCAAGTAATAAGTCCCTCTTTTTTGATACTATCGACTTTCTTTTCTCACCACAGCCCTGTGGGGTCCGGCGGTGGCACTTTGCTTGCTGGCGTTCGCTGGAGATTACGAGGTGTTGGCACTTTCGCTGCTAGTCGTGGCCGTAGCACTAAATAGCGCCGTGAATCTAGGCTACCTGTCCAACCATCTGGACCTTTCACCGAACTTTGCCGGTACACTAATGGGTATTACAAACGGTCTGTCCAACATCACCTCCATTTCCGCTCCTCTCTTTGCTGGCTTCGTAGTCAAAGACCCGGTAAGTCCAATGAACATAAACTAAAAATTGAAACAGACGTCACATTAACATCAGTCGATGGTGAAAGCACCAATCGTGATATCACGTCCAAATCCAAGCAATGAAAAAGTGCGCGAGATAATGGGTGTGGAGAAGGACATCGTACGCGATATCAGGTCCAAGCAGTTGGTCTGGTATGGACATGTGCGAAGGATGGCAGACGATCGGTTGCCCAAGCAGGTTTTCGATTGGGTTCCTCCCGGAAGGCGACGGCGTGGACGTCCTGTGAAAGGTTGGCGACAAGGGATGGAGGAGGAGATCAGAAGGTGCCAATTGCCTGATGATCTCTGGGAGGATAGGGGGCTTGGCGATTGGGCGTCGCAGAGCGCGAGGCGGCGCTATAAAAGCGGATTTATGTATGTGTATAAATACCTATCTTTAAAAAGCTACTTACACTTCTTCTGAAAAGTTTCCGCGAATTTACCTACATGAGAGGCTTGGAGGACAAGACGCATAAGTACCTACAGTTTCTGCTATTTCAAAAAATACGTGTTTATAGTTTCAAAGTTACAATAAGCCTTGTGGCGGGAAGAAAGTTTAAACTCACATGTTGATGCTTTAAAGTTGGATTTTAGATGTGAGTTGTTCACCGAATATTCTTGAAAACTAGTTTTAGTTGAGTTCATGAATATCACAATTTTTTCAAAAACTGCACTTGTGCGCCTTGTCCTCCAAGCCCCTCAAATGATCTCAAATAAAAAAGTATCGAAAATTTCGACACGAAATTTTTGTTTGTTTTATTTTCCTTTAATGTAACCAAAAACAATTAAATATCATCAAAGTTTCTGTATTGTTACAATGCTGCGTTTCACGCCAACTAACCGACTGCACTGCGTTTGGCGCAATGCGAGAAGTATTCATGCAGTCTTGTAGGCGCTAATATGGGCGCACTGTTTTGCGCAATGCGCGAAGTATTCCTTAAGTCTTGCAGGCGCTAATATACGATTAACGCCGGCTGCACTGTGTTTGGCATGATTATTCGAACTCGCGTTAGAAAAATCACGGCGTCGAATAATAGAGCTTAATAAGGCCTGTTTTGTCTCGACGTCTTATGAGCATTCCAACGTTGCCTCGTTTCTCCCGCTGAAATATTTTTTTCCGAGGAAAGATAGAAACGTTCTTCATACTCACGACCATTATTCAATCTTTTGCTTCCATTTATCATCAAGAGGTAAGACATCGATGACTTGTCAACGCTAACTAACCTGAACTAGCGTTAACATAAAAATGCGTTTATTTTCCAACTGTTACCTGTTTTGCCAAACTTTTACCTGAAATTAACTTCATTTTAAATTCGCACATTCCTGTAGCAGATGTTAAGGTTTCAATTTGTGCAATTCTTCTGCATTTTTCGCGCAATCCTCATATATTTTCCTAGACCTTTCGCGCAATCCTGGACTACCGCTAATTCGTACATATATTTTAATTTTGTTTTTCTCTCTACTCTGTTTACGTGCCTCGTTAAAAAATCTGCAGGTACTTCAATTGCAGAGGTATTGATGGCTAAAGTTACTTAGTGGGCAACGCTTAGGCGTAGGCACCTCTATGAAATAAAGAAATTCTACCACTACTATACCTACAACTTTCCTTCTACAATATTAAATTTCCGAATTGATCAGTTTTTCTTTTTTTTCTTATTTAGACAAGATATAGTTCTACGTTTGACCATATTTTAAATTCTCTTGTTCCTTTCTTTTCTCGCAGAGATCGCTTCTTCAGTGGCAGATTGTTTTCCTGACGTCAGCGGGTATTTTCTTCATAGGAAACTTGGTATTCATCATTTTTGGCACGGCTGAAGTTCAACCATGGAATTCGCCAAGAGGACAACGAGAATCTGAATCTGAACCTGAGGCCTCTCCAAGAAGCGAGTAAACAGGAGGGAGACACATCGTCTTCACATCGTGATATCTAGTTCCTTACTCTTTAAGAGTCGCGCCTCTTTCCAATACATCGGTTGAGCGCACGTGTGCCTACCATTACCGAATTATTGACATAGGTAGGTACTCAACAACTTGCGGTGGATAGGCGTCTTTAATGTTAGATCCAGTGCCGTTTTCTGAATAAAATATGAGAGGAAGCTGTACCGGCCCCGAGACAATTGGATGTAATCGCAACAGAGATTGCGCAACATCCTCTCCTACTTCGCCTTCAATTTTCGTGGTAGGCCAGAGAACATCCTCTCTGCTACGATGGAATCTACCCGAGGATTCGTCGGCTGGTGCGCTCGTGAGGAATTATGCGAATTATCGCAACTATGGCAAGCTCTACCGGTTGGCCTATTTCTCATCAATTTGGTGCTACGGCTATCTACTTTTTTTCAAATGAAGTCAGAGGACTATTTTAATTAGTAAATATGATTAAAATGACTTACCATTCTCAAATTTCTTCAGAGAAGCTGCGCCTCACAAAAAAGCTTACGGGAAACGCCACTGGCAGCACACCATTTAGTACCTACGTGTATTTACATTTTACTGCGACTAGGAGGTGCGCCCCCTGATCACTTTGCGATCCAACCCGGCGAAGCGCTTCGCGCTTCAGGCGTCGTACGTTACTCCTACAATAGAGTAAGATTTGTATTTAAAAGGGAAGGGGATGCCTAAACCTCGCCGATTTGACGTCTCGTAAGTGAATCGGTTTTTGTTAAACGGGCATAACTCCGAAAAATCATGAGCCCTGGCTCTCGTTAATCATGCAGGAAGCTAGGGCTCATGAGTTTTGGGACTTACGCCCATTTAACAGAAACCGATTCAATTTTAAGGAGGAACGCTCCCTTGTAAAGAGAAAACTCCGTAAAACGGAATTGAATACTTCAATCTTCAATCTGCAGACATGTTCTAACAGCTAGTTATTAGAGTTATCAATTAAAAAAGCATGCATGTGTTGCGCATTCCAAATCCAAGTCGAGGGCCCATTTGAACGTATGTCTGTCGAATGGAACTATGTGCATTAAGACATGAGCCCTGAGATCCATAAGAATATATGCATAACAGGGCTCACGTCAGGATGCATCTAAGTTCTGTCTGACAGAAATACGTTCATTTACCCTTCACAGGAGCTTACCGGTGCTGGAATGGAGCAGCTGCATAGGATTGACACTGTCCTGGAGGGATGGGTGCATCAATCTCCGGGGAAGGGGGTTACAAGAAGTCTTGAAGCATTGTTTTTCCAGTGAAAAAGCATCAGCCAACTGCCCAGTCTCTTATTAAAATGTACCATAAAAAAAAGGAGAAAAAAGGAAAATCATGATCGCCGGGTGACATATCCGGATTTCGTTTTGAGAAGGGAGCGAACGTTCGTTTGTTTAGGAGGGCCACTGACCAGATGGGCAGTGATTACAGGATATCCTGGGGTAAAATTGAGGCTCGAGGATCATTCTGCTGAGACTTTTTGAACAATTTTCGGGACAACATTCAAAACTTTACACTATGTCGAAAAACGTTTATACTGATGTAAAAATTAAATCTTCTCTGACAAACCTATCAAAAATGTAAATGTCCTAAGAGTTGCATTGCCTCTCCTCTCCCATACAATATCAACATGTATTATGAACCCTCAAATGTCTGAAAAATATAGGGTGCATGAAAGAAATAATTCGACGGTGTGAGTCGGCAATCACATGACTCGGTTTGCAACGTCGCAGACTTCCTGTCATACTTAATTTCTTAAACAGAAAACTACTCAACGGCACTTACTTAAGTAAAACTGCTGTTATTTTTCTTCTCCGTGTGAAGAAAATTTCGCCAAATCTTCGAGGAATGATGACACTTTTGTTCTCCTTTGAAAAAATAACATAGAGGCGGAGATTTTCAGACACCAGAAACGAGTTATGTGATTGCTGATTTACACTGTCGAATTGTAATGCTTTTACCTAACGTATTTCTGCTGTAATTGTTGCTGAGTTGTATTCTTATGTTGTCCTAAAGCTTTGTAAGAACCACTTTAGAATACTGAATTTTTTGGAAGAAAGCTTCATTGCAAGCTAGTGAAGTTTCACAAAGGTAGCAACATTGCAATTCTCTTTTCCCTTTCTGTTAACTTAACAGTATTCTAAGTGATCAAGGTATCCTTGAAAAAATTGTTTGCCAAGCTCAGAGGGTGGTAGGTGATTTTAGGAAAAATGCTGATTATTTATAATACATTCAGTATATTTAAAAATTGTACACAAAACTTTGTTGGAAATATTGTTCTTGAATCCTTTACTTTCTTAGTTTTATTAGCTTCTCATTCATTTTATAACCCTAGTTTTCCTTAGAATGAAGCTGTATTTTAGGGTATATTAATTAATGTCGGTTAAAACATGTTCTTGTTTTAATACATTTAAAATAGTATGTGTTTATAATAAAACAAGAATATGAAAAAATCAAAAGTGAGAGGGTATACGATTTAGAAAAAAAGAAGAAAAAAAGAAGGAAAAAAGGGGAAAAAACTGAGACGTTTCAAAATTGAATGATGACAAATAGTGAAAGTAAACTAGAAATGAAACATTCAGTGAACAGAAAATTATTGGGAGCTTTTTATTATGGAGATGAAAAGAGCTTTCTCATATTTTAATGAAAACTGCAACTATGAACAAAAAATGCTGAAAAAATTTGAAGTCAGAAAATTAGGGGGCAAAATGGTCATTTAACTTCACACACAAAAAAAATGTGTTTTCATAATGATTGTATGTTGTAAAGTTTATTGTAGGCTTAACAAAAATATAGGGATCAACTTTACTACTTTATAAAAGAAAGTTATGCTACAAAGTTAATGGACGTTTTCGTGTTACACAACTAAGCGCAATCAGTTTGTACCGGTTCCAAGAGGAATTTGGAAACCAATCTTGTGAGGAATGATAAGTAAAAGTTGACAAATGACCAGAAAATAGTGCAATGCTACCAATGTTCCTGTCGAATACCTAATTGTTATTAAAAATTATCAGATCTTCAAAAAACATGGACTATCAGGTGAATAAAAGTGCTTGAAATCTTCAACCAGTTCCAGGTAAATTTGAACAAGAGATATTGTTTATTGAAAGCTCAATTCATTCTAGTTTTTAGCAATGTAATTTCCCTTCTACACATTTCATTAGATGCCAACAATTTTTTCACAGGACAGAAATGAATCACCTGAAAAAAGCACGTCATAATATATGTATGTCTTGAGAACATCAATATGTTACTACACTGAAAAAGTACTCTTTCACAAAAAAACTGTGGAAATGTGTGTAATTGCATATTACTATAACCCTGGGTCACACAATCAAAATAAAATCATCAATCCAAGAGGGTCACTGCCACTATTGGCTGTTCATCCACTGCCATCAAATAAATGCAGGCCGCTACAGTTCTATAGAGTATCATGTTCTCATTGCTTAAGTAGAGCAAAGGTTTTGAAGTCAAAGCATTTGTTGCTTAAAGCCGGAACCAATCAGAGCTCTGGAAATTTGACCGTGTCTGAATGCATGACCCAAGTATTTGGCTTTGCATTAATGAAAAGCTATTTTAAACTTTACATAATGCAGTTTAAGCTAAAAGTAGAATCAAACTACTTAACTTTTTAACAAGTGGCACTTAAAAATTAGAACATGTGGTACATACAGTCACTGATAGTAATGCTGTTGGAATTAAAATAATAAGAAAATTTACAACCTTTGCTAAAATCTCCACTTGGCAGCTAAAACAACAGGGATCCATGATAACAAATAGAAACATGTGATTTGGTTTGGTTTTAGAAAAAATAAAACTAAATAAATGAAACTGAATAAAAACAAAAACTTTGCGACTAACATTTAATTAAACTTTCCTATCTGTCAACTACTGAACTAGGTTCAAATATAATGAAAATTATCTAATTCAGTACATAATATACAATTTATACAGCCAGTCAGTCAACAATAAACATAATAATAAAGCTTCAGCTCTTTTAATTGCTCATAAAACAATAGACATAATGTACAGGCTTTAATATTTTAAAGTGCTTGTCTTAGCCGCCTTGACTTCATGATTCAAACTGGGGCTAAGTTCATTTAAAGGCAAATTATTTGAATATCAGTTCAATAAAGAATCAATACAGGGTTAAGAGAAGGAACATGTAAAATTTAAGTGAACCGATAGGATAATATTAGAGGTAGAAAAAAAAAAGGATAAAAAAAGGAAGAATTATAATGAGTCTGTGTAATGTTCCTAATGTGAGTAGCAGTAGCGTCCAATGGATGACATTTTAAATGAGATTGCAATGTAAAAGCCTTGATTCAAGGTTGTTATTTCAGTACTTATTGCCGATGATTTTCACAGCTTTTGATGCCTCAGTAACACAAAACTAACTTCTACTGTAGCTCATGAAAAACATTCTTAGCTACAACCAAAGTAAAGTGAGAAAAAGCTGAAATCAAAAACTAATTAATTCTTTTATTATCAGGCTAGATTCTGGGTGCACATGCCCCACAACAATAATTGATTTTTCATGCAAACAAATCGGATTGCACTTTTTAGAAAGTGTCTAACATTGTAAATCAGATCCTCTTTGATAAATAGAGCTAAAAATGTGAATAATTCTGAGTGAAGGTTGCTGAGAAAGACAGAAAGGCTGCAGAAAGGATACGATTATGCTGCTGCGTTTGTGGTAGTAAAATGGTCGAGTATCTTTGATAAGCCAAGCTCTTAAAATGAGCTATTACAGGTAATTTTTGAAATGAATGGACCTCAACAACAAAAATCATTACTCTAAGATGTACTTATCAACATTTCCAGAAAGTTAAAGGTCTAAAAGCAACTATCGATATAAATTACAAACACAGGAAAAACACAAGGGATATATCATAAGTGTTAAATAGGAGTTGTAAAATAAACACTATTGCTAAGACTGGCCAAACGTGCTCACTGACCCTCAAACAATGCCCAACATGATTTTTATGTAATTTTACCCTTTGAGGGTCTATTCACTTGGCAATATCTCTTGCCTGCAGCAGACCAATTAATTCCTGTTCGAGTCATATTTCATTGACCTGGTTCTCCAGTACCCAATTTATTCTGAGACTCTTCAGTGGCGTGGCAAGAATTGCAATGTATCGATTGTTATGCCATTTAAACCGATGGAAAAGGATCAATAAACAGGGTTTTTGCAGCAAACACCTTAATAAGCGATTCTGTATTATAGATTTAAATGGCATAATAATCGATACATCACAATTCACGCCACCCCACTGAGACTCTTTTAAACTTTGGTAAATGTTGAATAGATACTTGTCACTCAAAAATATCCACTTATAAAAATAATTTCTTACTTTTTATTGATAGATTTAGAAAAAAAAGTTAGCACTAGGTATTAAATTTACACTTCCCTTGGTTAATTATTTAGAGTTTCTCTTTTCCAGGAAATAACCTAGGAAACAACAATTGTTCAGTGCGATGACACTTAAGAATCACTAATTTTTTGGTAAAACAGATAAGCATTACAAAATTTTCATTTTCCCAAGTGTTTTATACTTTCAATGTTCTTTGCTTGGAAACTTCAATTATTTTTTTACACCTGGAAGAGAGGTGAGTCGAGTGGATTTAGACTTCACCGGAAAAGGAGTTAAAATTTTCACAGGATCAGGATTGTTATTCAGCCTAAGATCTTCCTTCAGACTTTTTTCTTTGGCACCTCTGGAAAAGAGAACAAAAGAGTACATTAAAATACATGAAGATAAGAATACTGTAAGTAGGAAGTAAAAAAAATAATGCATGGCATATGCAAGCACAAAAAAAAATGATAAATTATTACATTTGAATAGTTTCAGGTTACGTTTTTGCTCTACTTTTTGAACTTACTTGTATATATATTCGATGAGAGATGCCTTTTACTAATAGAGAAATTAGGGATTTTTTTAGTAAATTTTCATGGAATAGTAGAAAATATCTGATTTTATGACCTGAACTGAGGCGCCAAGGTTGGTGAGTTCAAAAATTTCATAGGTTAGATACGCATCATGGAAGGGTTCACCTCTGTTTTAAATTAGATTCTTCACTCAAGCGCTCATTCCACGCATCAACTAGAGGCTGCAAAAAGGCCCATCGATGGAATATTTGACTGTTGCATTTCAAAGATCGTTGGCCCGGCTATATTTGAAGGTGACCAATGTTCAAGAGACACATCATAGATCAGATCTTGAGATTTTTAAGGTATTTCAAGCAGAAATGGCTGAGAAATTAAAGAACTAGTGCCAGTTTGAGAGCCTTAGTGTGTGCGTGAGACAGGGGTCTCAAAGAGGAGGCTGAATATATGAGACAAGTTGCCGAGATAGTGGACTGGAGACTATCTCCTAAAGGCTTAAGGGATCCACACATAGTGGCAACCAAGTTTTTTGACGAATTCTGAATTTCCACACCTTGCGGGTGCTTCATTTGATAATGACAAATTGTCAATAGATACTTACAAATACCGGGTTAAGTCCTCTATATCGACCAACATTGAGTCCTGACCCATGTGCAGCTCATCTCGTTCCATTAGCATTTTCACTAAGTCTTCATTTAAAACTTAAATAAACAGAACAGAGAAAAAAATTACTGAGGAAAATGGTTGCCACAAGTGAAAAAAAAAGAGATTAATGTCAGAGTGCTGATATAATTATGATCACTTCAGCCATAGCGGCGCATAATTGATAACTCTCGCTAGACCAAACATATCGTTCAAAACATGATGATTCCTACGATAATTTGAGCTGTTCTTTCCAAATTTTGTGTCAAAAAAGCCGGAAAAAACCTTTAAACATAGGTTTTATACGTCGAAAGCCGAAGAAATTGGTCGATAAAAAGAGGGTTTTACATCGTGATTCGTATGGGAATAACGCAATCATCGAACAAAAAAATGTGATCTCATCACCTAACCTTGAAATTCTATTCCAAGGAGAATATTTTCGCTTTTACAGATCCCAAAAATATTGATTTTTAGCAGCAGAGAACGAGATCAAAGTTGCTAGACAAATGGGCCTTAAAAATTGCATTTTTTAGAATATTGTAGACTGGAAGAGTGTCATTGCGGTTTGTTGCGCTGTTCTCTTTGGTATTTTAAGAAAGCACACATCCTAGAGATACTATATACCAAAGCACAAATGGTACAAACCGGTACAACCATGTTTGTCAGATGCTTTTTTGAGGTGACCTCCAATTTCCGCGAAAATCAGATGTGGAGGTTTCAAGGAACCACGGTACACTGTAAAGCTGTCGATGAAATATTTCATTGCTAATTCATGTTTTAAGGGTTTTGAAGGTTTCTAATAGCATTTTTCGCTCTTTCAATACTTCAGGGAGGGAAAAAGGAGAGGGGGAGGCCGACCAAAATCACACCGTTAAAAATTTGTTGTGGTCAATAATTTTATTGAGCCCAGTACATAATGATAATCATTCTACATCAGTTCATGCATTCAGCTCAAATAGGACTGACTTTAAACCAATTTGGCGATGAATATGAAAATTCTACCATCTCATTGTACCTAAATTTAGAGTAAGTTGACCCTGGCTTACACCATTATAACAGATGAAATGTCAACTTCCCTGTTAGACTTTAGTTAATGTAATCTTGTGTGCTTGAAATCACTCTGATAACTAAATATTGGCTCTTTTAAATACAGCTGTACCTTTAGCAATACATTCCTTTTAAACCCTATTGCCATTGTATAAATAATGTGTTATTTTTGGCAAGTAACTGTATCTTGAGATAAGTACGAGCCGGTTCTAGATATTGCGTTATTTTGCCACATTATGTTTGATCCGATCACCAGAATTCAATATACATTCCTCCTCCACTTCTAAGATACCACCCTTGAGCACGCATGATTGCATAAATTACAGTCCACCGGAGAAGCTGACATTTCATCTGTTAAAATGGTGTGAGCTAGGGTCAACTTACTCCAAACTTAGGTGCAATGAGATGGTAGAATTTTCATATTCATTGCCAAATTGGTTTAAAATCTGTCCTATTTGAGCTGAATGCCTAAACTGATGTACAATGATTATCATTATTTACTGGGCTCGTATTACATACATTATCATCATTATACATTATCTACTTACTTTCTATCTGAGTGTGCAGGTCATTGACAATAACTTGCAGCTGAGCTACATTCAGGTTTGTCAAAAGTTGTCTGCTGAGCCTTCGCCTCTCTTCTGGAAAAGGTACACCTACCTGAAAAGAAAGTCTCAGTGTAGATTCAAAAAATTCTTTAATTTGTAAGTTTTGGGTGCTTTAAGACAAAGACCATCCATAATGAAATACCTAACCGCCATGTTATTAGGAACTAGAAACATCGCACTTCCGACCTCAAAAATAAAAAATTGACACTTGTAAGGGGGACCTTTCGTGTCCTGAGCAAAAATTATTGTTGAGTCAACCAGAAAACTATTTAAAGTGACAAGATGTCTCTTTGAAATAACAGTAACAGCAGTTTGAATTATAACACTTCTGATATACATACATGAATTTTATTGATAATTTTTCTCTATCGCTCTGATTGATTAAATGACATGCTGAATTGTTCCCTCACCAACCAAGCCCAAGCATTGGAGGATAAAAAAAGAAGAAAAAACCTGTAAATATACTAAGCAAGGCTAGAAAAAAAAATTAATTACTTAATTGATTATTTGACACTAGATCAAAAGTATGAACACAGCACACACACGAAAGTGTAAAAAAGTAGCCAATGAGTGCTAATTTAAAGAAGGAAGAAAACCAATGTTTTAGGAGAAACATGTAAAATATTTTGAGCACAGAAGGAGTGCTGGGTCAAATTAAATCCAATTCGCATCCAAATCGCAATTTCCTGATACATGTTACCTGACAAGTAACACAAGAACTATATATACCTCATTACCTCAAGCCACTTTCGAAAAATTGTCATTTTCGACATCTCTTGCGTGAAAAAATGGATCTTCATTGAGCTGGTTCAGTATCACTTGCGGACATTTCATTTTTCTATAGGAGAACTGGCACTTGAATTTTCTTGAAATCGGTGATTTTTTTCCTACATTTATAGTCACTAAAATTTTCGAACAAATTCATTTGATGGTTCCCACATGAGAAGATAAAATGTCCACAGAAGTACTGAGGCAGCGACAATGAGATAGGTTCCTTTATATGAGAGACGACAAAGTATAAGCAGAAGTAAATCAAAAAGTTAGGTGCAAGAAGGCCCTTATCTAAAAAATTGGAGTTTGAAAAAGTTGCTTTTGAAGTTTTGGACAGTACTATTTTTCATTCATAAAAATTATTATTTGGTCATAATATTACAAGAAAATTTGTATACTGGTCACTTGTTTCCAACTTGAAACTCCTTCAGAATGAGCCTTGTGAAAAATAAAATTAAATGATGACCCACAGGAATTTTAGTACATACTGAATCTTCATTTGTGAAGATTTGAGATTAAACAAGTTGGCGAAACGCACAGTTTGTAAGCACAGTTTTTTTTTTCATTTAAGATTAAACCAACTGATTTTTCTCATGATTTTAAGTTACTTCACATGCTTTTCTCAATGATTATACAAATTTTCAAAGGAAACTGACAAAACAGAGTGGATATATTCTCATGGTCGAAATAAATCAGCCAAAAACCTTGTCCCATAAAGTGTTTCTTGTGCTGTACAGCTTAGGTTTGCTTGAGTAATGAGCACTGATAGGAACATTTGAAATTACATAACTGAAATTCTCACTCGATGATAACAGCTGCTTAGTATGCAATCTGACAACTGGATGACCCCTCAGATATTGGATCCGGTTTTTTACATAGCATATAAAGAACCATTGTTTTCATCTAAAAAAGGGGAAGCAGGGTTTGAAAGGAAATTCCAATTTTTGGATGCAAATAATACAGAAAGGATAAACGAAAAACATGAGAAGATTAGAAAACCAAAAGGGCCAATTAAAAAAGAAAGGTTTGAGAACCATTATAGGTAAAATTAAAAACATTAAGTTCAAAACACAAGGAAGATGAAAAAAAAAAAAAAAAAAATATGCAGTCCACTTATTGCATGATCATTTTCAAGTTGGTTTAGGTTAGAAGGTCAAATTGAAGAAAAACTAGTGAGGAAAAGAGAAACTTGGGAGAGGAGGGAATGGATTGGCAAAATTTGCTCGAAGAACTGATTGAAAAAGTAGGTAAGTATTAATACCTACTTACTATGAGTTTTTTTTTAAGAAATACGATTTTACAGACCCCCTTCTAGTAAAGGTAGAGGACATTACTTTGCAAGAGAATTCTGAGAAAAAAGGAGCATTCTATCACCTCTCATCTTCATATCTTCATTAAGAATTGATGCGACTGTCTATCAAAAGGGCTATCATAATAGAAGTGAAGAACATTGATTAGATATGATTCAGTGCAAACTCACTTTAACAGAGTAAAATCAAAGGAAAGAAATTTTTGAGGGATCAATTTAGAAAATCTTAATTATTGTTGCATTTGATCTCCAGTATCAATGCATGTGCTCTCTGAAAAAAGCATTGGTCGAGACAAAGGTATTTGCAAATGCCTATGAGATATTAAGCAGGTTATGTTGAATAATCTCATCATGATAGTAAGCGTTGGTTTCCGCAATGCTCTAATTCTACTCCTAATGATGAAACCAAGTTTTCCTCTGTGACCTGGTTACAAAACTTAAAATGATTAACTTTCTGGTCAACATTAATGCATGTAAGAAAGATTTTCCCGTCTGAGGAGAGAGGAAATAGGGTATGATATAGAATGCAAGTAATTGTAAACACATTCAATATTTTTGTCGTAAGAATAATTGAAACATACTTTAGTAAGACTGGCACGTAGCATATCAGTAATAGGACTAGTGGTCATCCTCTCTCTTTCAATTTCCATCTGTCTTCGAGCAGTTTCCTTCGCTTCTGCAAGTGCTTGTCTGGCATCAGCTTGAAGCTTGGCCTGTTGAGTAAAAAAGTCTGTCTCTACTTGCATTGCTTCTTGCGGCACCGGTTGCGTCTTATTGTTAAACAGGGGACGAACAGTCTGGGGAAAAAAACAAAAGCATACATTAATAGCACAGCAAGGTCTGAGGATTGTAATAAATCGATCAATGGCTATACATATATTGGATACTGCATACATACAGAATATCTGCAAAAAAAAGTTTGATAAGTTATACTTTCCTACATGCTGAGCTTGACAAACTAACTCTCAATACCTCCTAAATCTGTACATAAGTGGAGTAAAAATCTGATGAAATAACAACTTAATCTACGGAGAAACTGCTGTAAAATATAAACGATCAAATACATAACACTGAGTGAAAAAAACCAGGACGTTTGAGTTAGTTACAATATCATTTTCAACTAGGAAAAAAAAGGAAATAAGAGATGTTAATTTGTTGTTATTATGAAACCAAGTGTTGGTCTGGTGCACTGAAGACTTGGAAATTGAAAGATTTTTATTTGAAAAATAAATACAATTCTTAGATAGGTAATTGATGTGAGGGGGAGAGAGCAAAAAAACGAGAGGGTTATCCAAAGTCTCTTTCATTATTAATTTACTCCTTGGATTCTCCATTTTGGAGAGTAGGTAACAGAATCTGAGGAGTTAGATCTATCACCTAACACGATTAGATATATTCAAAAGGATTGTTAAAATATGAAGCTGACATTAGGTACTGACTTTTGAGGTGAGAGGTTTAGGAGAGGGTTCTGAAAGTTCTGATTGGGATGTTTTGCTTGACGCCGTTTTTACTGGCGACTCCTGATCGGAGCTTGGTGATTCATTGTCAGACATGGTTTCATTCATAAAGCAAATCTGTAAATTCATCCCTGAAAAATAAGAAAATTTACAACAATTAGTATTGGGAAAGTTATTCACTAAACACTATAGGTGACAGCATTGCCTACAAGAATAGAGAGGCCGTAACTACGATTCTATGATGTCACACTAGTAGGTGAAACTCTGCCGCGATTTAACATGTGTTCTAATGGGAGAATGCATGACACATGTTTTTTTGTGCTAATATCTTTTTAGGAGTTGATCTGATTGCAAAAATTCATAAAAACCTTTTTGAAAGAAGATAAAATTTCACATCAGAAAACTGCCTAATTCATAAATTACATTGTCTGATAATTGAGGAAATAAAAGCTAAACACGACTAAATACCAAACATTGTTATCCCACTAGGATTCAAAGGCACTGCTCATGCAACTTCGGCCGATCGACAGCGGCTCTGATTGGTAAACACGGCGATTACTCTACTAGTTTGACGTCACGGAACCAAGTAGTTACGGCCTCTCCATTCTCATAGGCAACAGTGGAAGCTACATTGTGGCTCAGCTTTCACGGACGTAATTTCATAGGAGTTATGATTACTCACCATTTTGCAGACGGGACTGAAGACTAGGTTTCTTCCTGGGACGATTGTTCGATGGAAACTCTTCGGTGTCACCTGAGGCAAGCCTCCTGCGTATTTCCTCTCTGTCATTACGCCTCTGAAACACACATGTGAGGGAACATTGAGAACTTTTTTTATTACTTCCCTTCAGGAGAGGTTGAATGAGAGAACATGCAAATAAAGGAGGTAAGAACAAGAAGGCCTTGTACTGCAAAATCACTCTAGAAAATCAGCTTTTTTAGTTTATGGTTGGTTAAAGGAATCTAAATCTTTACGAACCAGAAGCTGATGATGATACTCAAATTCCATGAAATTATATCACATGGCAACAGAACTTAAATCAAATATGGTTGCGTTCAACTTTCCATCTAACTTTTCGTCTGCTTTTGTCAGATGAAAAGTTGAACCATGAGGATTGTGCTAAACAGTTCAATAAAAACTATGCAACCAACTGTATAACCTCAGCATGTGATCAAAACATAACATACTTATTCGGTCTGATTACATGCTGTTAGGGCATCAAAGAGAAAACAAAATAGCACCAGTAATAAGTACTTACACGAAAAGAATTATTTAAAATGAATTTTGATCTTGGCAAGGATATCTGTTCTTCGTTATTTACAGACCTAGCAAATCGATCAACTATATCATCATCTGATTCTTCGTCCGAATCAACATCTAGAAAGGATCCGTATACCAGTCTGTACGGATCAACATTGCACTGAGAATAATTTGTTCTGCATTTCGGATAGTTATTGATGTTATCAAAGTACAACGGATTTATGTGCGCTGTGTCTTCCTGTTCGATTTTTTCATCATGTAGACTCTTGGGTGATTCTTCCGTCGTCGGTATAACTTTTCTCTTAAAAGCTCCCACCGATTCAGAAACTTTCATTTTGAACTGACCCATTGATCTGTCAGAAGCTGTCAAAGTTTTGAAGCTTGTCACTATGTTCTCAAACATGATGGCACTCAATAGAAAGTCAGTTTGTTGGTGTCGACTTGGGAAGTAGTCATTTACTTAGGTGACACTTCGGAAGTTGAATGACGGTCATAAAAACTATTACATTTCACAAGAAAAACTTGTATTATGCGTTGAACTTGTTATGGAGGCGTGTGCTACTTCCACATTCGCGAAAAATCAATAGCATCTGACGACGAAGGTTCGTCATCACTTATTCGCACTTTAATTACTAATGATGTTCGAAGCACTTTAACAAGACTGGAATAACAAATAATCACGACTAACGGATCCTAATACAAATTAATAAGCAAATTCGCGAAGAAGGTTTCAAAACTAAATTCTCTAATCACTGACATTCTAATCAACAACCCAAACAAACTCATGCATGAGTCAGCTCATGTAAAATGAATAGTAAAGCAGACTACCTCTCTATACTATTCATTCTACATATTTTGGATCTGTGTATTTGGCGGGAAATTTGAAAAAGCGCTCGTGCCGCCTCTTTAGCGCAAAAGTGAATTCATTTTTATGCCCTTGCACAGCGAGCATGCACTTGCACATTATGAAGACCAGGGCCGGATTAAGGGGGCGGCAAATTTTGCAGTTTTTTTAAATGTAGGTTTAAAAATAAAATCGGATTTAGAAAAAAAAAAAAATACAAACGAGAAAAGGCTACAAAATCTCTCATTTCCTGAGAGTATAGTAATTTCTAATTTTGTCCTCTTTCAGTGATACAAGAAACAGCACCGTTAATTAGTCGAGTTAAGAGAGAAACCAAACACAGAATTTGGCCTGGAACGGCGCGACTTAGGGAGAAATGATGACGAGGACTTGAGATGAAAAGGAGAAGCCCTCGGCGCGGCGATCGGCATGTAACACATATTAGCGCCTACAAGACTGCACGAATACTTCACGCATTGCATCAAATACAGTGCGGTTATTGTGGTCAGCGTGAAACGGATAGCGCCTACAAGAATGCATGAATACTTCACGCATTGCGCCAAACACGGTGCGGTCGGCGCGGCACGGTGGCGGAAGTTAAAATCATTAAACCAAATGTGTTTGTCCTTTCATAATTTTTTCGTTCATTTCTTATGAATGGAAGGCGTTGTCCATTAGAGATAAGTTTACGAAACTTAACTTTCGCGCAAAGTTCCGTGACCTTTTGCTAGTAGTGTTGACAGGGCTTCCCCCAAAAATGTGTTCAACACGAGTAAAAGCGTCTTATGCATTCCACCACCGCTGGCACATTCACTTGATGGTTTTTGTTGATATTTCAAAACGAATGAGAAGGGGGCGGCAAAATACAGGCGGCCCATGGGCGGAAAGTAGGAAAATCCGGCCCTGATGATGACCAAACAGAATGAACATATTTTTCACTTCAAATGTGATTTATTGGACAACATAGCCTCTCTCTTTCTCACAAGGAATGATGCAAGACAAAAAATTGAATCAAGCTAAATAAATCTCATGACAGAACCTGCAATAATTATATTTTTCACCGTATTTTCAGCCTTCTCTGTTTCTCTATCGCAACTTCCTTGGCGATCTAAGGATAAGCAGGCAGGAGTTTGCACCATTTACACGGCTCCTCAACATATTCACCAATAAATATTTAATAAATTTTCCCGAGGCTACATTCAAACGTGAGCGAGTGGTTTACATTTATTTGAAGACATCTGAGGATGTTCAGTAAATTAATAGTAAAAAGTTTGGGAGTCTCCCCATAGAGACCGCACGCACATTGGTGCTTTGCCTTTAATTTTTGTGGTAGGCCAGAGAACATCATCCGCGTAGCGGGTAGTTATTATACGAAGGTTTTTTGCGTCTTTGTGGTGCTATAAATATTATTGCCTCTTAGTTAATTTATTAATGAAGCTTCAACTTGATAATTCAAACGATACGTAGCTCTGTTTTTCTATACTTACGTAGATCAACGATCAATAAAGGAATATAACGAATGGTAATCTTCCAATTATGATTCACTTCCCAAATATCTTTGGGAAAGCAATTAAATGCGTCCATGTAGCTTACAATCATGACTAGATCTGGAAATCATGTGCACGAGAAAAAGACAAATATTTATTTTCTCCAGCAGTTTTCTCGAAAAGTGATATTTCCCCCTCAAATTACGTAAAACAAGTTAAAATGAAAAGTTTTTATCTGACTACCTATGATAATTTTTGTTTTCAGTTGATTTTGTGCGTTTTTTAAATGTTTTGTAACCCTGCTCTAAAAGACTTAAATCGGTCGAGGACTACCAATTGTTGCATCTGGCACAACGGATAAAGAATCGGAAGAAGAAGAAAGAAAATAGGAGGAGGAAGAAGAAGAAATGGAAGAAGAAGAAAATGTAGAGGAGACAAAAGAAGGGAAAGGAATAAACGAACAGAAATAATTATTTATTTTCCTTCATATTTCCCTTTATCCTCCTTTTCCTCTCTCTCTATTTCTTCTCTTCTATCCTCTCCCCATCTTCGAGTCTTTTTCTTCTTTCCCTTCTTCTCCATTTTCCTCTCTTTTCCCTCCCTTCTTTTTTTCTATATGGTCAACTTCCTCTTCTCCTCTTCATCCTTCTCTCCTTCTCGATCTCTGATGCGCCCCCATCAATCTGACAAGTCTTACGCGTCCTGTAAATGCATGGCTTTCTTTTTCATTTTTCTTCTTTTCTCCCCTTCAAACCCCATGTTAATATGCTCCTACTGCTCAGTTATTCACTTATTACGGTAAACCTCGGGTCTAAAATATCCGTGTCGATTAGACATGGGTTAAGTATAACGACTTTTCAGTTGAGTTGCGAGCCTTGTTTCTAACCATTTTGGTTTCCGCGACTTTCCGTTGCCCCTCTGAACCTAACCACCGCGTATGAAACTCTACTACATTAATTTATTTTTTATCGTGTAGGTAATGTCTGTTCCAATTTTTAGTATATTTAATATTCCACGTGCAAGTACGTACAGTGGAGAGATCGCCAAGCGAATCGAGACTCTCGTGCGAGTCGTAGGTGAGTGTGTACAAATCCAGGACGAATCGGGAGTCCTTCTTGTAGTGGCGACGGTCGATCCTGCTGCAATGCTGGTTGCCCCACGGATTCGTCATCACGCTGGTTGCCATCCTAACGCGCACTGTCGCACTACCCCAACACGCACTGTCGCACTACCGACAACCGAACCTCTCGCACACGCTGCACTGCGTCACCCTGTCATTCGGGGTCCATCCTCACTGTGACATCGCCGAGGACTGCGGAATGCCACGCAACAAAAACAATGACGATGTAAGCCGGGAGTCAGTCGGAGAGGGACTGATGGAGCCTGGTTGGAGCGAGAGAGACAGAGTCGGTTCTGGTCGGATACGCCCGGCCCCGGCCCCCGGCCCCCCGGCCCCCCGGCCCCCGGCCCCCGGCCCCCCGAGCCCCCCGCGGCCCCACCTCGGGTGCTAATCACTCGTCTTGTGCTTGTCTATCCAACGCCGCGCCTGCCTCCGGCCCGACCGAGGAAAATGGCATTGCGTGGTCCTTGCGTCGAGCCCCTCTGCATTGCCGATGTTACTCGCAAACTCCGATTTTTAAGGAAACCTAACTCTTGCGGCGCGGCGACTGAAAATCAGGGAATTTGACACTGCACGGAAAATAATGATATTGCTGATTTAACCATTTTGTGGTTAAAACAATTTCCGACATGTTTCAATGTAGATTTTACAATGAAAAAATGATAATTTAACTACCCTCGCCGTTAAATTACGTTTCCACTTTTGTAAAATGTACATTTGAAACTTGTCGGGCACATCTTATAACAATTGAATCGTTAAATCAGCAATCCATTTTATCCGTGTAAACAAGTCCTGGAAAATGTCAGAACTCTTGTTTGACCTAGGGGCTGTCCACTTATTGCGATGCCAGGCTTTTTCTTGATTTTTTTGACAACCCCCCACCCCACCCCTACCCTTCCTCCATGTCATTTTGGACTAACGCTCTCTTTTTGGGCCGAAGTATCTTGATTTAATTTGCGAGGAAAGCTCCGTTCTTCTGAAGGATGCCTGACATTCCTAATATGTTGGAGCGCCTTCAATTTCGTATGCTACTGTGCAATACCTCTGGTGTGAAATAGTTGCTTCAAGCGCCGCGGTACGCTGCG